TGGGGCTGTCAGAATGCGCACCATGCTGGTGGTCCGAAGAAAAAGATGAAACCATTGAACATATCCTCTACGATTGCCAGTCGCTCTCATTTATTAGAAGATTTGTTTTCAGCGAGTATTGGCTAACACCGGCCGATATAAGAGAAACACCTCTTGGCGACGTAGTCAACTACATTAAATGTGTAGGCTGGCTCATGAGATAGGAGGTGCCTATCATTTTCTGAGGATACACAATGGGCCTAGTGAGGCCTAAGTGCCGTCGTTTAACCCACCCTCTACACGTTACATATCCAGAAGTACTGTAAGTTGTAAAGGCATTTCGATTACATCCTGATAGCAGCGACTTGGTTCCTCGAAGTGAGTTTGTCATATATTTTAATTATTGTTTTGTATTATTGTTCATTTACTATTTTAATTCGAATGGTTTTCTAATAGAAGAAATTAAAGTTTTACTGGATGATAGCAATTTTTACATCATTGTTGATGAAAGCACAGATGCTTGTGGAAGATATACGGTACATCTTATGATTGGAGCCTTAAAAGAAAATGAACCAGGTACATCATATTTAATTGCATCAAAACAGTTAGAAAAAACTAACAATACAACTGTTACCCGATTTATTCAACAATCTCTAGCAGATTTTTTTTTACCAAATCAAATTCCCTTAGTTCTTAGTGTTTTTGTCTGACGCAGCACCATATATGATAAAAGTAGGGCAAAACTTAAAAATATTTTATCCATATATGGTCCACGTTACTTGTCTTCTGCATGGAATAAACTTAGTTGCAGAAACTGTGAGAACAGAATATCCCATGGTTAACAAGCTAATTTCGAATATGAAAAAAATATTTTTGAAAGTCCCTTTAAGAGTGCAGTTGTATAAAGAGAGAATGGTAGGGGTGTGTTAGCCACCGGAACCCGTAATTACGTGATGGGGGACATGGATTAAAGCAGCTATATTCTATGCAGAAAATTTTGAAGCAATTAAGGATTTAATTTTGGATATAGAAGACAATTCACAATGTGTAGTGTATAGTAAAGAATTGTTAAAAAAATCCCCTTGTGCCTAAGCAACTTGTGTTTATAAAGGTTAATTTTAGTTTTTTACCTGATGTAATAACTTCATTGGAAAAGAAAAATTAAGTTTAATCGAATCAACAAATTTTATTGCAACAGTTTTCGATAAATGTAACAATGTTCCTGGTGACATAGGCCTTAAGATTAGAAAAAAATTAAATACAACTTTATTAAAGAATGAAGGGTTCAATAAAATAATGGAAGTGAAAAACATTTTTGAGGGAAAATTTTCCAAAGAAGTTTTACGTTGGCCCTGTACATTACTTCCAAAATTACGGTATTGTCCTATTACTTCGGTAGATATTGAAAGGACCTTTTCTATATCAAAACATATTTTTACAGACAGAAGACAAAATTTTTTAATAGTTTTAATAGAAAATTTCGAAAAATATTTAATTATAAATTCCTATTATAATATTACTATTTAATATTTTTATACTTAACTTCTACTAGTTTTTGTGTTTCGTTTGTTTTAAATAAATTTTTATATTACATATTTTCTTTTGTTTTCTTTTTTTTTTTCGTGTAATGGCTTTGATAGCGTACCAAATTAGGAACAGCAATGTTAATTAGAACCCAACAGTGAATGGTCAAGTGGAAATACTCGCTAGGCATCAGAATTCATTTTTAAATAAATTAATTTAAAAAATCGCGTCCCGGCTGGAATTTGAACCCGGGACCCCCCAAGTCCACAGGCCAACGTACTAACCACTGAGCTACCCACCCCCTACTTTTTTTTAAGTATTTTTAACAAATATGCATTTGCATATTTAGGCATAATTGGACAAAATAACTGCATATTTTTGGTAAAAACGATGCATATATATGCGCATATTTTGTTATATTTTGATGCATATATTCCGCCCTCTATATAAGTAACCAATGATTATTGAATAACGTCGAAAGAAAATAGCAGAGTTAAAAAATATTTTCAACACTCTGCCTTTGATTTTGCCCACTAAGGAGAAAGTCATCCTTATTAGGACTCTTCAGGAATAAATGAAAATTCTCGACTCCAGTCTCTAATGGAGTGATTAGGACACACATTTCGATCGAACTCAATTAAGGCGGGTCGAGCATGAGTAGATGCGATAGTGGTATCGCCATCTATACTTAGTAAGCAGAATCAAATAACATCTAGTGGATATCCACGATGGTTTGCGTTCGCGCCTAGACTTTGATATATTTAGTGGATGTTCATGGGATATTGAATACACCTTAAAAAATTAATTTTAAATATCTGAACGTACTATTAGCTACAATGGCGCAATTTTTTAATAATTTGCTATATAATTATTATTTATGGACATTTGCATGTCTATAAATTACATTTCATGGATATAAAATAGATATCTACCATGGGCTGGACATTCAGTAGATATCCAAAGGATTTGGTGTGCTGTCTGGGTGCTGTGTCAACTGTGCGAAAAATGCTGGAAAAAATAAAAAAACTTCAGTTAAATGATTTTTTTACGTTTAAATAAACCAAGGAAGCTTTTCAATGGTAAGTTTTTTTATAGCTTCTAGTACTAAACTAGGTAATATCCATAGTACTGAGTAAAAAAAGCAAGATTTTGACAAAATGGTGAATGCGCCGCGAAAAATTTTTCGCTGTGCTTACTGGCCTGCTGTATTTTTATACAATCGCTTCTCCTTCCAAAAATAATAATTATAACGTGATTTTTAGGCCTTAACTTAGACATACTTTTTTGTGGATCATTTTACATTTATATCGGCTCCAATACGTTAGCCTTAGGTATTAGTAAAGTATATTATTATATAACTACAATAACGAAAGCTTGTTCGTATACTCAGCTGCGTTTTGTACAAAATTTATTACTTATGACGCCCCTGTCCTATAAACATCGATTCTATTTTCTACAAGAATAATTCCACCAGGCCCTAAGGGGGGAAATTGTATTTTAAAATATTTTTCGATAGTGAGTTCAGCATTGTATCACCTAGGCCTACCTCGAGTATATTTTTTAGACTAAATCCTTGTTGGATAGTTTCTCCAGCAACTAGTATGTCGCCGATATGTGGGTGTGTGATTACCTTAAAAGAGAAGGTTACCGTTAGAAACCACGGTTGTGTTGGCAGGGCCACCGAGAGCCAGGCCGGGCCCCAGGACAGGACAACTATCTAGATCGGGCCCCGTGACAAGCTCTTCAAACAAAAACTTTTCTTCTTCTACTCGAATTGCTTTTTCTAAAAAAAAAGGTCCTCATCAAGCAAAAACTTTTCCTCCTCTACTTGAATTCAATTTTCTAAAAAAAACCCAACAAAAACTTCCCCCTCTCGTCTTCTGTCACATTTCTCATACAAAACAAAAAAAACAGTTGCCGAGCCCCCCTTACACCGCTGCCGGGCCCCGGCTACCCGCCCCCCCTCTAGTCGGCCCTGTGTGTTAAGTCAGTAAGAGACAATCATTATTCCTGAAGCCTTATTAATGATAATTTTTCTTAGTACTTAAGACTATTGGGAAAGGAGGTAATGCATAGGATTTTATATATATATATATATATATATATATATATATATATATATATATATATATATATATATATATATATATATATATTCGTGGAAATAAAGCAATTTTCCAGCTTTGGGGATGTGCCAGTAAAAGTACCATCCAAGTTATTCAACATTTCCAGAATAAAGTATTAAAGAACATAGTCAATGCACCCTGGTAAATACAAATAATTTGCCAATTGTCACCAACAATGACTGCTCCAACATGGAAACCTAGAGATTATCCAGCCAACAATGCCAAGAAGACTCGAGAGAGAGAATCAAGTCTTAGAGTTAGTTAAGTGATGTTAAAGCAGAGTATAGTGCAATTAAGCGTTATACATTAACGGTAGTGTAAATAATTAGACTCTAAGGTATACTAGTGAGTAGAATATTAGTTTATGAAGTTTTTCGTCCCTTGATAAATTAGATTAGAATAAAATTGCTAATTGATCTTAATGATCAGATTGTAATAATCATAAATGTTTCTTTATTAAAAACTATTTGTTTCAGGCAAATGCATTTAAAACAATTTGTGGAAATTAAGCGATTTGCTTTTATATTTTATGAAATGTTTAAAAATTTATTATTTGTTTAAGAATCAATGCTCGAGTTTTGTTTATTTTAAATAAACATGTATATTTATAAATGTCTTTTTTTTAGTCTAATATTTTAGTAAAAAAAGCTAGAATAAGTTCTGAAATATTACTAAAAGATTTTTACGTTTCAGGCACATTTTAGAAATGTTTCGTAATATTAATACATTACAAATGTTTCAATGTAATATTTTTGAAATGTGTTTGTGCTGTATGGGAATTTAAAATTATTCTATAAAGCACCACTGGCAGATAAAAATACCGCGAAATTCTCTAAGTCGTCCGACGTGGTTTTACGTTTCCCCTCTCTACCTACCAAAAGCCTTTCCAACTTCTGCCCCTGCTATAATACTATCAGGTTCTTTACCATCTCAGTTCATGTCCGTTCCAATTTTTAATGTGAAGATTATTTTTTAAGCCATAAATTTTGAAAATAGCAAAAATATAGTTACCCTATTTTAACTAACCTGTGCAGCCTTTAGCAATAGCAGGTTGCTTCGCAAAAAAGTATACATAAAATAAATACTAATTTCGTAACGTAATGCTTATAGTCATCAGTATGTACATGTGATTTCGATCATTTATTTGTTCTAAATTCCATCCTTTTCTCACTGTCAAACTTTTATACTTTCGAATATGAACTTTTTTGAAATTTCATTTTTTTTTTCGAAGTTATTTCACAAACTCAATAATTACTGTTTTTAATCTCTTTAATTAACCAGACCAAAAATAAATTTTACTATAAATTAAAATAAATGGGTTTGAATTTATATTTTAATAAACAAAACAAGTTCTTCTATAAAGTAGAACTTAGAATATTTGTACTTATTAATAAATATCACAATGAATTAAAATATATTTTTTACAGCTGGAAACTCTCTAAATTCTTTAAGGCTTCTTCAGACTGCTTTTCAGTTTCGGCAGTCACTTGTGGAGCGGATGGTAATTTTGAATTTGGATTGGTATTTTTTTGAAGAGGTACTTCAGGCATTCTTATTTTATTTTCCAACTGATTTAAGGCTAAATCTATTTCGGTAACTTTAGTTTTATTTTTAATGTTTATCTGAAAATTAAAAAATATTTTAAAATTATTTAATACTTTTGTTAGATGATTTTACCTGTTTTAGGTCTGATTTTACAGCTTTTGCCTTAGCTTTCAGCTTCAAGCTCCTAGCCCCAGCCACTTTAAATACATTGTCAACTTTTTTCTTGTTTTTGCCCATTGTCATCTAAAAATAAATAAAATATTTTCAATAAATTAAGACTTTTTCTACTAAAACTTCACCTGATAAGCAAGATATTTTATTATCAGAATTTAAAATTGCTTCCAACTTTCTTTTTCTGCATGTACCAATTAAAATATCCTTGTCTAGTTTGATGGTTACCCTCATCATCTCTTTTAAAGAGCTTACAGTTCTCACTTTAAATATGTCAACAATATTTTGGCTAATGTCACAAGTAAAACTGTTTAAAACAACATTTTTTGCAAGCTCCAAATAATTATCACCTTTTACAAAACAGTATACATAAATATGAGGTGGATTTTTAAAATCTGGTAATTCATTATACTGAAACAACCCTTCAAAATGTGTAAGGAACTCCACTGCCATTGCAGGAAGGTTCATTGTAATAAAAATATTTTGATCATTTTTAATATGAGATGGGAGAAACTCTTTAATTTCATTTTTTATAAAATCTTTTCCATCTTTATTGAATGATTTGAAGTATTCTTTAGATATTTTATTGGATTTGGCATTAAATTCAAGCCATTTATAGGATTCAGGGTTTAAATCATTTGCATAAACAAAACATTTTTTCTTGGCTATGGGTACAGAGAAAGGACCCACTCCAGCAAACACATCAAACAAAACGTCATTTTTGTTCAACATGTTAACAATTCTTTCATGTTCAGTACACAACCTAGAATTCCAGTAAACCTGAGAAAAGTCAAATTTGAAACTACAATGATTTTCTTTTACTGTCGTCAGCATATTGTCAATTCCTTTTAACACTTCCATACTAAAGTTTCTGTAAGTGTTGTCAATAATGTTTACTTTATTTACTACAGATTGACATCCAGATATTTTGTCAAAAAGTATTTCTCCTATAACGTTTTTAAATGGTAAAAGATGTTCACGCAGATTGACATGCACAATGTGGCCAACTTTTGTAAAGCTGGACATACCTAAAACATATTTAATTCTAGTACCATAGAATCAAAAAATGTGACAGTAATATACCTTCTTTTTCTACAGGAAGAATAGCCTTTAACAAATCATCTGCAGTGAAATTATCATATTTTAGCTCAAAATCTTTTACAATTCTAAAATTATCTTTTGTTATTTGCAATTTTTCTAAAGCAGATTGGATTTCTTCTGGAAAACTTGACCAATCTCTAATAACTTCAGGTGACATATAAATGTCAATGTTTTCTTCACTTGCAGGTTGAACTGGTTTAAACTTTTCAATTTTAAGAAAATATTGCTTAATTATGTTTAAAATTGAATTTAGAGATTCTTTTTTTATACTCAAACATGGAATATCTATACTTTTCTTGATGGTATCTTTATTTAATACTACAACACCTCGAATATTTGGTGGCTTTAATACGTTTTTCATTGTCTGTATTCCTGTAGCCAAGAAACGGTTTAGAATGGAAGTTGAAAGAAATTTCAAGCTAAAATTCATAGAAGATATATTAGAATTTAAAAAAGAAAAATACATACCTATCACCCACCAAACACATGTAATCAAAATTATAACCAAAAAAAACCATGTGGAATTAAGCACAGAACGCACAGAACAGAATTAAAATTAAAGTTCGTATTTATAAACAGAACTCAGCCGAGGTGGCCGAGTCAGACCAATGAACTGGAGTAGGGTAGAATGCTTGTCAATAGGCTTGAGATGCACATACTTTGATTACTCATTGCGTTCGGTTTGCCACGTTCCTTTAACTCCTTTAACACTTTTAACTCCAAACGACTCTTTTAGCGTTCGGTTTAGTCCGATTAGTGACAGTTTAACACGCCTAAATGTCATTTAAAAGCACCCTAAAATTTGTCCCGCTCCAGCCCCTGACTGACCGAACTCGCCTAATTACGAGGCAAGAGAGAGGTCCGACACGCCCAACATAGGGCGCGGCCATTTTGAACCCTGTGACACAGTTTACAGCTAAAGAATCAGATCGCTCACTCTGCGTCGGCACTTTTGATCTCAATGTTTCAGTTTATACACTGTGCAACTCGGATAATACAATATATGACAACCGCCTACAATAAAACAGCAGTCTTCTGCGTATCCTGAATTTGTATCCCTGGAGTGGATGTTATTTTGGAACTTTCAACTGGTCCGAATGAGCTAACTGATTCTTTAGCAATAAACTGTGACTCCAAAAATAATATTGACTGACACTGACAGCAGCAAGCAAAATATCAGGTGCGTTTTAATCATCCGCTTCTGCTTCCGGAATTGTCGGTTCAGTCGTTCTAACCTGTCAGATTAAAACAAGAAAACCGACAATTCCTAAGCAGAAGCGGATGATTAAAACGCACCTATTAAAAATATTGCGCCAAAATGTAGGCAACACGTAATAAGGGTTCAAAATGGCGGAGTTTTCTATCTCCTTTTAAAAGGAACTCAGAAACCTGCGCAGTGCGATCATTCTCCGTATAGTAAAAGAAATCAAAGTATGTGGCCCGAACTCTCTACAAAATCACGTTTGCGTGCATTCGGTATTTCGAAAATAAGGTAGTTGGTAATTAGCGTAAGGACCCTATTGGTGCTTGCCCGATCTCTCTAATAGCTGGCGGCTATCTTTATACGAAATTACCACTTGCAAGTGTCGGTTACGGTTACAGTCAAAATAGCTGACGGCTATCGGTCGAAAAACGTTTTTTGTGACACTTTCCTATATGTAGAAAAATGTCATAAATTTCCGATGTGTAGAAAAATGTCAAAAATTCCTATAGGAAAAAATTCCTACGAGTCGAGAACTCAGAGTAAGTAAGTAGTAAAGAAAGGAAAGTGAACAATGTTTGTGTCGGCATGATAATATGGTCGAGAATTCTAATTAGAGAGAAATAGATTAATATCTCTATCTCTTTGTTTGTATTTGTCAGTTTTACAAAGCTTTTCTCAGACAATTATTCCAGTGTTTAATTTAAATTTGTTCGTGTTGTGGTGTTAAAAGTAATTATTATTAATATTATATTCATAACAAAAAAGTCATATTTTGTTTTCACTTCATTAAAAATGCACCTACCTACCTTTTAAAACATTTTATTGTGTATTCTATTTGGTCAACATTTTCGCATTTAAAATGACCCAGCGAAATTGTTTTACGGTACGCTACTGCTGAGAATTCTAAAACGAGTGAGAAAGCCTTCATTAGAAAGAGAGATACTGATTATATGATAGCGAGATTAATATTGTATAACTTTATGCAGTGGTGGCCTATCTGCTATTATATTATCTAAGGTCGAGAATCGACCCCCTGCTAAATAGCTGGGGGGCTATTTTCAAACTCGAGAGAATTCATTTCTCTCAAGAGAAATGTCATACGTCAACGTAAAACCGTATTTTTGGGGCTCTTAGGGCCAGTGTGAACTCATGCACTGACTGTTTCTCTCGGTTTATTTAGAGATAATTAAAATCTTCCTAAGAATTTCAATCCTCGATGCCCTTAAAAACAACATTTCCACATTGACGTATGACATTTTTGATGAGAATCTTGAGAGAAATGAGTGCTCCCATACTTTGAAAATAGCGCCCCTGGGGTGCTATTTTCAAAGTCGAGAGAATTCATTTCTCTCGAGAGAAATGTCATACGTCAACGTAAAACAGTATTTTTAGGGTCCTAAGGGCCAGTGTAAACTCACTGATTGTTTCTCACGGTTTATTTCGAGATAATTAATATCCTCCTAAGAATTTTAATCCTCGAGGCCTTTAAAAACAGCGTTTCCACATTGACGTATGACATTTCTGATGAGAATCTTGAGAGAAATGAGTACTCACACGGTTTGAAAATAGGTCCCCTGGGGACCTATTTTCAAAGTATGTGAGCACTCATTTCTCTCAAGATTCTCATCAGAAATGTCATACGTCAATTTGGAAACGCTGTATTTAAAGACATCGAGGATTAAAATTCTTAGGAGAATTTTAATTATCTCTAAATAAACCGAGAGAAACAGTCAGTGAGTTCATACTGGCCCTAAGAGCCCTAAAAATACGGTTTTACGTTGACGTATGACATTTCTCTTGATGGAAATGAATTCTCTCGAGTTTGAAAATAGCCCCCCTGGGGACCTATTTTCAAACCGTGTGAGTACTCATTTCTCTCAAGATTCTCATCAGAAATGTCATACGTCAATGTGGAAACGCTGTTTTTAAAGGCCTCGAGGATTAAAATTCTTGGGAGGATATTAATTATCTCTAAATAAACCGTGAGAAACAATCAGTGAGTTTACACTGGCCCTTAGGACCCTAAAAATACTGTTTTACGTTGACGTGTGACATTTCTCTCGAGAGAAATGAATTCTCTCGACTTTGAAAATAGCACCCCTGGGGACCTATTTTCAAAGTATGTGAGCACTCATTTCTCTCAAGATTCTCATCAGAAATGTCATACGTCAATGTGGAAACGCTGTATTTAAAGACATCGAGGATTAAAATTCTTAGGAGAATTTTAATTATCTCTAAATAAACCGATAGAAACAGTCAGTGAGTTCACACTGGCCCTAAGAGCCCTAAAAATACGGTTTTACGTTGACGTATGACATTTCTCTTGATGGAAATGAATTCTCTCGAGTTTGAAAATAGCCCCCCAGGTGGAGAAAATATCCACCAGTGGACACCACATCGCGACAGGAAGGTTTAGTGGATTTTACACCGGGCCGAACGAAAGGTTTAGTGTACGTTGGTGTAGTTCATTCCTACACCTGTGGGACGAACGAAAGAACCTATTATATCTTTTTAGAGATGGGTAGTAACAAATCCGTAAATGTACATAACAGTTACAGATTTGCTAATAACCATCTCTAAATTCCAGTCTAACACCAGAACCACCTAGAACTTTAGAGACGTTGTAACCGAACTTCGATTTTAGTTCAAGGACGACTTACCCAAGTCTGATTCAGGTAAGTTCTGTTTATAAATACGGACCCGAATAATTTGGTGGAATTTTGGAAAATTTTAATTAAACTGAATAACCCAAAAGTACCATAGTTTATCAAAAAAAAAGAAAAAGAGAAGTGACATGGTTCATGATGTTATTCAGCATGTGAGTTCTACCATTTTTTTATACCAAGTCAAAATATCAAAGTGATATCAAACTAGACAGATCAAAAACCAATAACGGTATTAATTAAACCAAGATTTAAAACATTTTCAGCTTTAAAAAATTTAAAAGAAAAAATACGAATTTTGGAATATCTTTAAAGACGAAGCCGAAATTCAAAAAAAAATAAGAAGAACGTACTTCCAATACATCCGTAAGATGGTGGTATCATCGATTTAATTAAACATGTCGAAAATTTGGATATGTGATATCTTGTGTATATTAGTTAAATGTCAATAATTCGTGTAAAATTCCAAAAAAGGAAGTTAATTTCACTTATAATTTCTATATTTATTGAAAATAATTATTATCCAGGTAAGTTGTTATAACAAAAGTAGTGTTCGAAACTTTTTTAATTTTGTTGTAACAGCTCAATGGGTTGTGCATATGCTTCAGAAACAAGAGGTCATGGGTTCGAATCCTGAAAATATATTTTATTTCAGTCTTTTTTTTATTTATTTAATATATCAAAATTTAATTATAATATATATGTTCTTAATTTTATGATTTTATGAGAAAAGTAACTAATACCTGTTTTCCTCTTAAAATCATTTCTCTATACTTATTGATATAAAATACTGTTTCCAGAACAGTAATAATAGTAATTTATTATTATTAAAAATACAGGGTCCCAAAATTGCTGGGACATGAGCTACCTACCACGTATTGTAGAGATCAAAATAAGTCGATTGGACCCAATTTATATAAATACCAAAATGTACCATTTGTCCCTGAGAAAAAAGTGAACAGTGAACAAATTATTGAACATTTACAATAGTAAAATATGAAGATGATGAGTAAGTCTACCCATTAAAAAGGCTTAAAACCTTATTAACAACACCTAAAAAAATTAAAAGAGATTACCAGGTTGATTTTAATCCTTCTGCAATTACCTTTAGGTTCCTTTAATTACTGAAAGTAGGGTAATCCTCTAAAATGTACTTTAGCCAAATTTCATTAAATTTATTTAATGCATTTCTGAACAGTGTACAAAAATGTGATTTTTTAAGTAAACTTTGAACTATTTTCATGTACAAATGGTAGGTACATATTGGATATATAAACTGGGTTCATTCAACTTATTTTAACTTTACAATATGTGGTAGCTCCATGTCCCAGCAATTTTGAGACACCCTGTTGCAGGGGAGAGGAAGGTACATGTGGTCAGTATTTTTCACTAATTTTTCGTAAAAACGAGGGTCTTTTACCCGGATATTTCTCTATTTTTTTATAAATCCGATTCCTCTGCGGCTTTTAAAAAGCGTGGAATTTGCATAAAAAGCGTACAGGCAAGTCAAAAAGCGTGGCAATCACGTCAAAAGCGTGACATCTGGCAACCCTATTTATAATCATTTTACGGAATACTCTGTTAGGTCTAAACTCTAAACTAAAAGTGTCCTGGTCAGATGTCCTTGCTGTCCCCTTTTGACTCACTGGTTTGGGTAACTTCAACACCATATCATCTCTTGTAACTGAAGCCACATCACTGAGAAATGGGAATACAAAAGTCCATCTAGGAAAGTTTCTTTGCAGATATTTAACTTCAAACTCCATCTGACCTTCATACACTTTTTTCACGAGCGCAGCATAATATACCATACGTTTTGTTGTTGCAAATTTGACAAGTATAAAGTCATTACCATAAGTCACATCACTGTCCAAAATTAAATGTTCGAGTTGCATAGCAGGGTTTTCTCCAATTCCCTCATCTGAAAAATAGCTACCTTGTATATTATTTGCTCTTCCTCTGATGAACTGACTATTAAAAAAACCCTTTTAACATTTTTTTCTTCTATTTTGGTATAATAGTTTATCTAATATTTCTGGTGTACATGATTTGCCTTTTCTTCTGTTGCTGTCTTGCCTAGGTGTAGCTTTCGGGAATGGTCAAACGACTTCAGGAGTCACATTTTTACTGGGACCTGAAATAGCTGTATCAAGCTGATTAACAACTGATCTGTTGTATTTTCATTAGGTCCCTTGCTATCAGTTGCCTATAAACTCTGAAAGTCTGGTTCAGTGAATATTTGATAATTGTGTGGCCACAAGCCACTAGATTCAAATGTTTTGGGGTGTTTTTGGAATAAAGCTCATCAAAAATGGTTGCTTGGATAATAGTGGAATATCATATACGGAGTGGCCCAAAAGTCTGGAAACGGCCAATTATCTCGTAAATTACTAGTCCTAATTGTACAAAATTTGGGATACACTTATTTTGGGATACAGAGATTTCAGATTTGATATTTGCAAATTTGCCAGATTTACCGTTTCTCTTATAAGTCACTTTGGTTTTTTAAATTCATCACCCTGTATATTCAGTCATTATTGGAATCTCCTATTCAATACGAGTTCAACCATATGTAACACTTATGATTTTATGTAGTCTGGAAGGTCTCAAATAAATAAAACAATCGTGGAGAAATGTGGTATATGCATTCTACCATCGATTAGGGTACTGTCAACTCACAAATGGAGCACATTTTGAACACTTGATAAAGTAACCATTATGTTAAAAATGTGATCTTTCAATTGTTACGTCTAATGTAGTTGAAAATAGTTTGTATTAAAAAATGTATTGAGACAAGTCGGCGTTGCCAGACTTCTGTTTTATTTATTTAAGACCTTCCAGACTACATAAAATCATTAGTGTTACATATGGTTGAACTCGTATTGAATAGGAGATTCCAATAATGACTGAATATACAGGGTGATGAATTTGAAAAACCAAAGTGACTTATAATATAAGAGAAACGGCAAATCTGACAACATTGCAAATATCAAATCTAAAATCTCCGTATCCCAAAATAGGTGTACCCCAAATTTTGTACAATTAGAACTAGTAATTTACGAGATAATTGGCCGTTCCCACTTTTGGGCCACTCTGTATATATTATACTGTTATTTGTTTCGCGGATTGAGTAGCTATGTGCTTATTAAAGGAAGATTTTAACATTGCTTTGAATAGCTCATGTACTCCAACATCTAATGGTTGAAGCTTATGGGAACAATGTGAAGGAAATAAAAGTAACCATTTTCTTTACAAAAACACAAAGCTGGCAGATATATGTGGGATTTTTAGTTATCGACAAGCAATAAAATGGGATTTTCCTTCGTTTAAGTTTACCGGGTGTTCAAATTAAAGTGTTACAGTTAAATACCGCCATTTACAAAAAACGTTTCAGATGAAAATTTTATAGTTTTTTTGGGGAAAAAATTTGGTTAAAATTGTTTTTTTATAGCTAACCATAATATGGCCTACTTTTTTTTCGTGTTGCAAAATTTTCAAATAGGTAAGTTTCCTTTAAAAAATTCTTATTTTTTATGAACTTTAAGAATATGTAAAAAATGGGGTTCTAATTTGAAAAAAAAAAGTCCACATCGATATGGCCATATTATGGTCAGCTATAAAAAAAATTATTTAGCCAAAATGTTTCCCCCAAAAAAATATGTATTCAACTACAACACAAGAAGTAATAGGTATCTAATATTTAAGAATCATAACTTAAGTACTATTTACAATAAAATCGGGGACATCTAGGAGATATTTTAGATTTTTTTCATGCTCTCCAAAGCGGAAAACTCAAACTGTCCACATACACTCCTCGCCCACATGCGCCCTTTCTCCCCTATTTTTTTTTTTTTTTTTTAATAGATCACAAACTCATACGGTTTTTCTGCTTTTAGAAAATTTGTACACATGGAGGAAAACAGTAAACATACCTCTGATAAAAAGGTATTTATCATAACTCCGGAAGAGTTAGCTAAACTCGGTATTTTAGATTCCCTGACAGCTGAAATAAAAAATAAAAATGCAGAAAAAAAAATAGAAACACCAACTGCATCTACATCTACTATAAAACCGACACATTTCTTTAAAAACACCACAGAAAAAATACTGCTAGATCTTTTTAAGCAAAATAAAGTTTGTAATAAACTTGAAGATGATAAAGTAGTTTTTAAAAAACCAAGACAAGCATCAAACTTTAACGAAATCAAGGATAATGCAACTATTACCAAATTCCCTCAAACAATGGATGGAGAAAAGAAAATAATAGATAATGACTTATCAATGGCCAGTAGTAGCAAAAGTCAATGTGCATTTAATATTTCAATGAAAAATGTGCATAATACATCAAATAAAAGAAAATTACAATCAAAAAAGGTTACAAATAAACAAGAGAGCATGAGTGGTCATGCTGATTCAAATAAGACAACGGAAGAATCCTCTGTATCTGAAAGGAAGAACATTGTCAATTTAATATCTACTTCTTTGAAGGATAAACTCAAAAAGAATATTTCCAATAGGGGAAAAGTATCTGCTTCAGAAATTAAATTTAATGGTGACTTCTCAAGTAAAATTCATTCTAAAAATAGGAAATCCGTTCCTAGTTTTAAAAAAAGTGCCCATGTTGGAATACATAATAATATGAATACTACTACCAATCCATCTAGTTCACAAGATTTGATCAAAAGTGTGACTAATATGTTACAAAGCAGTATAAATAATGTTGATAAGAATATTCCAAAAATTAATGAACAATTTAAAAATAAAGAAGTGACTAACACTATTATATCCTCGGATAAAGAGGCAACTGAATGTGTAAGAGAGAAAACTAAAAATAAAATAGTTATATTAGAAAATATAAAAATTTTAGGGGTACATAGTTCAGGAACAAGTGAATTGCACAACAAAAGTTCATTAGTATCTAGACCTAAAACTGATCACAATACAAATCTTCAAAATCAAACACAAACTGTTAACCAGAATATTTTACAGGACCCACTTAAAACAGAATTTGCAGTAAGTCAAATTTCAGAAAAACCTGAAATCATTACTTCAAAAATATCTTTAACACAAGATGACAATAATGTGAATGTACCCTGTATGACAGAATCACTTATGAAAAATACTGCAGAAGAAAAGCTTTTACTAGATTCTGCTAGGGTAAAATCATTAGATGTAAGCAATAATTTTGAAAACATTAAAGTTAGTTCTAAGAGAACAGAGGACAGTAATAATTTAGAACCCGGTGTCCTCAGAATTACAACAAATAAAAGGTATTTAACAGCAGGAACTGTAGAAACAGTTTTAACAGATAATAAACTACATGCGCCTATTACAATTGTTGGATTACCAATTATTAAAACCCCACTAAAAGAGATGCATTCAAAAGAAATTAACAGTGAAACTGAAGAATTAGTCATAAAAAAGACTTCATCAACATATGATGTTGACAAAGAAAAACCGTGTGATATGTATGTCCAACCTAGTGGTTTTCTTCTTCCCAAGAAGAGAGGCCGGCCAAGATTACCATCAGAATCTTCAGGAAATAACGATATCGTTGTTAAAAATGTTGATTCAGTAGAAAAAACTCATGATCTTAATAAAAGTACAACAGAAATCAAAATAAAAGATATGAAAGAAATAGAGATATTAAAAAATATAAAATTAAACAAAATTGACAGTAATCTTGTAATGAATACTTTGGCAGACACTTTAGTCAAGCAAAAATCGCTCTTATATGATGAAAATTTGAAAACATTTTCTAATTTAAATCCAGGAACTTTACTTCCTAAAAAAAGGAGTCGGAAGTCATCTGCGACAGTAATCAATGAAAACACTAATAGAATTTGTGAGAAAACGAATGTAAATGATTCTGAAAAAACTGTAGACCCAGAAATAAGAAACCACGAAGAATTTGGTCCAATAAAAGATAATGTAACTAAATCAGAAAGAGAAGATAATGTATTAAAAGATACGTCCTCTGGCGTAGAACGTTCTTCATTTGAAAAAATTCCTATTATTGAAAAAAAATCGTCATCATTCGAAGTAAATACAAATTTTAATTTAGAAGAAAATTTATTAAAAAAGAGTGATAAACCTAATATAAACCAAAGTGGTATGGTTCAAACTATTGCAACCCCAAAAAAACCATCTGTAGATGCCGTCTATATACCTAATGAAACTGACATCAAACTGAGTGGCTCTATTGCAGAAACTTCTAAACATGTTGGACAGTTATTACATTTAAAAAATATTGAAAAACAAAATATCGATGAAGATCAAACAATCTCTAAATCTGTTCAGGATGATGATTGCTTTAAAGTCGTCGCTACTGATCAAAGTCAGCTAAAAAACAATAAAAAAGACGATCATAAAGGAGGAAGTGAACTGGATCAGGAAAAAACGGACGAGCAATCATTATTGAAACACAATGCCGGTGAAAGTACATTGACGTTTTCTAATAACGCATTGGTAACCAATACCAGAAATTTACCTTATATAATTCAAGATGGACATGAAGGAAGAAAATCCATTTGTGATGATTATAAAGACATTGAAAAGGAAAAATACATTCCAATTAAAAAAAGTAAACGATACAGGATTCCATGTAGAACAAATACTCAAACACATAAGATGGTTGAGGTAAACTCAACAGAACAAATACCACAACCTCAATCTATATTAAGCACTGATCTACCCATTAAAAAGAAATTGAAACGTCCACAAAAAAAATTAAATTTGCAAAATAATGTTAAAAATGATATTATTACAAAACCAGATTCAACTATTGAAAATCTAGATGTCAGTACTCTAAATCTGGAAAATCAGAGTGACGTTTATAATGCTGGTGATACATCCAAGTTCGAAGAAAAAAACATTTCCATAAATACATCTATCTCCAATTCTGAACCACATACAAACCTAAAAAGAGGTATAAAACCAAAAAGTGAGTACGTTGCTCCACCTGAAGAAAATATTGAATTACCAATGGAGAAATCTATAAGAGGTAGAAGACATGTTAAAATTAATTATTTGGAATTAGAGAATATGTTTGTGGAAGATACATATTTAATAAAACAAATTAAAAAATCTGATGAAGATAAGGCACCGGCAAATACTTCGTTTAATAGCTCAGATATGCCTAAAAAGAAAAGAGGTAGACCACGCAAAAGTGAAGTCACACAACCTAAAGAAAAAATGGAAGTGACAGAACTAGAAAATGTTTCTAGTAAACCAAAAGATGCAAGTAGATCAGAGGATGAAGAAAAAAATGACATAGCTACCAATCAAGAATCTGAAGTAAACACAAACGTTGATACCCAAAATTCAACAGATATTGATGATAAAAAAAATGTCTCTAAAGAAAAAAATGAAATTAACCCAATCAATTCTAAAGGTTCTATAACTCTAAAAGATCAGACAATTTATACACCAGTTTCCCAAGGTAACACATCAGCAGATAATTTGTTCAATAGCTTAGATGTTACACTTAAAAAGAAAAGAGGTAGACCACGCAAAAGTGAAGTAACACAACCTAAAGAAATAATGGAGGTAGCAGGACTAGAAAGTGTTCGTATTAAACCAGAAGATGCAAGTAACAATGCATCAAAGGCAGGAGAAAAAAATGACGTACTTATTAATCAAGAATATGAAATCAACACTAACGTTGATACCCAACATTCAACAGATATCGATGAAAAAAATGTTGTTAAAGGAAAATGTGAAATTGACCCAATCAATTCTATACGTACTATAATTCCAAAAGATCAGATAATTTCTACACCAGTTCCCCAAGATACACTAGCAGATACTTCGTTTAATAGCTCAGATGTTACACTTAAAACGAAAAAAGGTAGACCACTTAAAAGTGAAGAAACACAATCTGAACCAAAAAAGGAGGTAGCAGAACTAGAAAGTATTCCTAGTGAGCCAAAAGATGCAAATAGCACTGCATCAAAGGACGAAGAAAAAAATGACGTAGTTATAAAACAAGAATCTGAAGTAAACACAAATGTTGATACCCAGCATTCAACAAACATCAATAAAACACAAAACATCGTTAAAAGTGAAATTGATCCAATCAATTCTATAGGTACTATAACTCCAAAAGATAAGACAATTTCTACACCAGTTCCCCAAGACAACACATCAGCAGATACTTCGTTTAATATCTCAGATGTTATGCCTAAAACGAAAAGAGGTAGACCACGCAAAAGTGAAGTAACAAAGGAGGTAACAGAACTAGAAAGTGTTACTAGAAAACCAAAAGATGCAAGTAACACTCCATCTAACGCAGAAGAAAAAAATTACGCAAATATTAATCAAGAATGTGAAGTAAACACAAACGTTGATATCCAACATTCAACAAATATCGATGAAAAACAAAACGTAGTTATAGAAAAAGGTGAAATTGACCCAATCAATTCTATAGGTACTATAACTCCAAAAGATCAGACAATTTATACACCAGTTCCCCTTGATGATTACTTGAAAAATAAAGAAGGTGATAAGGAAAGATCATACAGTACTGAAAATCTAGTTAAAGATCCAAGTGAATTAGATTTGGAAACAGAAGAGCGACCATTACTGAAACGCATTGCCGGTAAAAGTACATTTACATCTTTTAATGATAAACCATTGGTATGCGATACCAGTAATTCCATTAGCGATGATTATACTCACGATGAAAGCATAAAAAACGAAACAGAAATTCCGCCTTTTAGAAGGCGATGGAGGATTTCGTATAGAAAAAATATTAAAATCGCTAAAGAAAGGAATAAGATAACTCAACAGAAATTAGAACCAATAGATTTACGAAATAATGTTGAAATTAATATTAGTTCCAAACAAAATTCAACTATTGAGAACCTAGTCAACAATTCTCTAGAACTGGATCAGAGTGAGGTTCATAATGACTGTGATAATTCTATATTTGAAGAAAAAAGCAATAATTCCTTAAATTTATCTAGCGGCAATTCAGAACCACCCAAAAAAAAACAAAAAAGTCGGAAACAAAAAAGTGAGTACGTCACTCCACCTAAAGAAGTCATTGAATTACCAATGGAGCAATCTTTAAGAGGTAGAAGACATGTTAGAATTAATTATTTTGAATTAGAGAATAGGTTCAAAGAAGATAATAACGATTTTATAACCAATATTAAAAAACCAGATAAAGGTAACACACAAGGAGATACTTTGTTAAATAGTTCAGTTACTCCTAAAAAGAAAAGAGGTAGACCACGTAAAAGTGAACTGACACTTCCTGAAGAAAAATTAGAGGTATCAGAAGGAGAAAGTGTTGTTAGTAAATCACACGATGATTGTGGCACTGGATCAAAGGTTGAAGAAAAGAATGACGTACCCGTGAATAAAGAATCTAAAAATAATTCCAAATCAACTGATATCCAACACATTGAAGATGCGAATAAGACTTCAAATGAAGCTAATATTATAAAAACTAGTTCTGATGAGCCTAATAAAAACAAACGCGGTAGACCTCGAAAAGCTTTGCAACCTGGAGCAGAAATTACTTTACCAATGGATAAACCGGAAACTTCAAGTACATGTAACCAATCTGATCAAAATGAGGACAGCTATCACATTGAAAATGAAGTTAATATTAAAACACTCGATGATGAAGTGAATTCGATACCTAGTACTTCGTTTGACAGTCCAGCATCTACAGTTAAGAAGCGAGGAAGGCCTAGAAAGGACCATTTTAAAGACATTGAATTAATGGAAATAGAATCCAAGCGGGGATCCAGACAATCCGTAACTTATTCTGAGACCAAGAATCAGTTGGATGAAGATTCTGTAGAAGAAATTGGATTTATTAAAAAACGAAAACGAAAAATTTCTTCAAGCGATCAAGAAATAATTGATGAGCCAGTTGAAAAACCGAAATATGTGTATACAGGAAGGTATACAAAGTTGATCAACGATGTTTTCACTGCAGCGGTTTCAAAATCCGACGATACTGAAGAAAATCCAAATGCCAAGTAAGTTTACTTAATATATTATTTTTATTACTTATACTAATTGTATGTTTCGGGTTGTTGATACTATACTTTGATTATTTTTAGTTAAAGAAAATTGTAAATGAACATGTTAATTGGGCTTATATGTCTGGCTCAGTGGTTAGAGTCATGACTTTGAGATAGAAGGGTCTCGGGTAGGATTTCCCACTCAACCGTTTACTGTTGGGTTCTAATTTACAGTAGTGTTCTTAAAGTGGCGCTGGGAAACGGTAACCCTACACAACACGAGGCTAATAACTTAAGTAATTGATGCCGATGACAACAAAATAAAAAATATATATATAATAAAGTAGTATGTACGGTATAATGCAAATGAAAGGAATACATTATTTCGTTACTGGTTTACTTCTAAAAAAAAATCTAAAAACCACCGATATTTATACTCGAAACGCGCGTTCTCTCCGATATTCCTTTTTTATGACGTCGTATTGGTATCTCTGGCAACTGTCTAAAATGGATACACTCGACGTGTTTTGGTTAATAATTTATTCTCTTGTGATATATCAGTGATGTCCGGTGTTCCTCAAGGTTCCCACATTGGTCCAGTTCTATTTATATTGTATATAAACGATGTAACAAATTGCTTCTCAAACAGTCGCTATCTTTTGTTTTTTAGTATAAAAACCAGTGACCAGTTCTTACAAACAGATCTGCAGTGGGATTCTCATCTTTCAATTCGGCACGTGCTGAGAAGTTTCCATCTTCGTTCGACAGAATGTGATTCTTATGTAATGTCTCTCTCTATTCAACACGAAACGTGTTGAGTTCGCAGTTAAGAATCCCTGTCCAGGGGCCCTATTCTCCAAGTTGAACGATGTGAACATTCCACTGTGGGATGTGAAGTGTCCTATCACCAATTTATTCTCTAGGTCATCGTATTCGGTATTCTTGAATCATTCACATCTCATGGGTTCACGCAGCACCGCTGCCAAATTTAAGTTGTGCGTTAGAACTATTTTAGAAGGTACTTCAATTTTTTATTATTTTTTGACAATTATAATAACAGATTATATTTTCCATTATTTTCTATTAAATCCCGTGCCAAAGGTTTACTTAGACGAACATTTTGAATGAATATTCGGTCACTAAAGTCAAAAGGATACTCTTTTCTTAAAAAAATTATATTTGGTCGATTGGCATCTTCTTCCGCTTCAGCTAGATCATTCAAAATATGAATATAAATAAGAGCTTCATCCAAATCCATTTTAATTAAAAAAAGTGACGTTTTGATAGCGCACAACAATGACAGTTCTCCCAATGTTCTCCCGAAATGATGCTCTTCTACTGGTTTTGACTAAGAGAAGTATGTTCTCTCGATTTTCATGCGAAGTTATCATTCACTTCAATTGAAGAATACCATTCACACACTTTTTAAGAGAACGGCTGTCCAGTTCGCATGAAATGATCATTATCTCAACTGGAGAATAGGCCCCCAGGACCGTTTATAAAAAACTTTATTTATAATTTATTTATAACGTACTAATTAATTTATATAATAAAATGTTGTAAATAAATAAACTATAAATAAATTATACTATAGTTACATTGGTGTTAGAAGTGGAACTGTAAATAAATAGTGTACAAAAATGGCCAAAAAACCGTGTGATTTAAAAGTGACGGAGTTACGTCGGGAATTAGATCATGAGCTGGAGACGACAGGGAAGAAGGCAGACCTGGCAGAGGGGCTTAAAAAGCACCAGAAAGGGAAGATTTGGATCTGGAAACGTATCTATTTTCTGATGATATTATTTCTTCTTTAGAAAGTAAAATGTCTTCCATGAAAATCGATATTTCTTCTGACATATCTTCGAAATTTCTTCCATTTTGAAAAACAAAATCTCTTTAAAAAATAAAATTTCTTCTGATATGTCTTAACTAAAAAATTAAATCTCTGCTGATGTGGAAAACAAGATATCTTCTGTAAAGGTGAAAATAAAAGAAATGGAAAAGAAGATAGAAAAAATGAAACACGGAGACCAGGTCAAGGACTGGGAAATAAAGTGACATGAGGTAGAGTCGAAGTTAAAATTGGAAGGAGCTGTAAACTCTGCTCGTGTTAAAGCCTAAACTTTCGACGGAAAGACGTCATGGACAAACTACCTTAAACAGTTCAAGACAGCTGCGAGAGCAAACGAATGGACTGACAGAGAAAAGGCAGTGAATCTGACAATCGCCCTTCGAGGGTACGCTTTGGATGTTCTTCAAACAATACCTCTGGAAGAGACGGATGATTTTGAAAAACTCAAAAAGAGATGGCCATGAACACTTGGAGCAGGTGTACCGATTACAGCTGAAGAATCGCAAACAGAAACGTGACGAGAGCCCTCAAGAATTCGAATTAGATATTACGAAGATGGTGCGATTTGCCTACCCAACAGCTCCGGAATACATGATTGAATGTTTGGCTGTTCAAGCATTTGTTGATGGACTTCGTGACCATGAAATGCAAGGAACCCTACGTTTAGCCCGTCACGCTGGCTTCTGGTGGATTCAGTGTAAAAGAGGAAGAACAGGGAAATAAATTAGACCAATTGATTCGCATGATAAAAAGCCTTATTGAGAGGCCGCCCAAAGAACACTACGAATCGAAAAACCGTGCCGGTGGCTGTACAGGAAGGAACGGTGGTGCCTGATAGATCTGAAACTATAAGAGTAACGCGCTTGCAAGGAACTGTAGAGAAAGGAACGCCTGTTGTGGTGGAATCTTCAAAGTGTAAAGAAGGTGTTGGTCAAGGAACTCTTATTTGGAAAGGGGTTAGCCACATCTGCTAAAGAAGTTACAGTACGACGAACGACGGTTGTCAGCGATGAGTGGGCTCCTGCCAAACTTAGAGAAGAACAAGATAACGATCCCGTTTTAAAGAAGATAAGACAATATAAAGAGGAAAATTGTCGACCTACTTGGCAAGAAGCATTGAAACTCACCAGTAGTTAAATCATATTAGGGTCAGTGGGACTCTTTTATTCTAGAAGAAGGCTTATTAAAACGAGTACTAGAGAATGATGATGGTTCCGAAAACAGAAGACAGTTGGTCATTCCAAAGACTAAAGTAGCCGAAGTACTTCGTCAGTTACACGACAGTCCATCAGGAGGACATCTCGGTGTTAAGAAAATCCTTCAGAGAGTTCGTGAAAGGTTTTATTACATGAACAGCTCCGATGATGTAAAGGACTGGTGTAAGAAATATACCAGCTGTGCTATGAGTAATGGACCTCAACGAAAAAGGAAGGCTCCCATGAAGCAATACAACGTTGGTAGCCCATTTGAGAGGGTTGCCTTAGATATTGCTGGACCATTCCCCGTGACCGAGGAATCTAATAAATACATTTTGGTGGCTATGGATTATTTTACAAAGTGGGTGGAAGTCTACGCCATTCCAAACCAAGAGGTCGCAACTGTTGCAGATGTGTTGATAATAGAGTTTATCTGTCGATTTGGAATGCCCTTGGAGATCCTCAGTGACCAAGGCAGAAATTTTGAAAGCCAACTCTTCCGTGGAATCTGTGACAGACTAGGAATGAAGAAAACCAGAACGACAGCATTGCACTCACAATCTGATGGAATGGTAGAGCAAATGAATAAGACCATTAGGTATTTATCTGTCAAAAGTGGTTTCAAACCATCAGCGAGATTCTGATCAGTATTTTTCGCTCTTTGCAATGGCTTATAGCACTGTCAATGAATCAACAGGTCTAACACCAGCAAAGGGTCCTGTTTGGGCGTGAGATGAGACTACAGTGCGACCTCGAGTTTGGATGGCGACCTGAAGAAGATGTAGCTGGACGATATACATGAATTGGCCCGCTCGCATCTTCAAATCGCCAGCGACAGGATGACGAAACGGTACGATACCCAAGCCACAGAAGGATGCTCCAAGAAAGGCGACAAAGTCTGGCTCCATAATCCAAAGAGACAAAAGGGTTATTGTCCGAAGGTTCAAAGGTCTTGGGAAGGTCCGTATCTCATCAAGAATAAAATCAATGATGTCATTTACCATATAAGTAAGATCCCGAACGGTAAGCCGAAGGTAGTGCACCAAAACCGGCGGGCGCCATTTATGGGTGACCATGACGAGGAAGAAGAAGTAAACCAGCTCCAAGAAACACCTGACCTTGTCTTTGAAGAATTTATGGGTGCATATAAAGGTACCGGAAAAGCAACACGGTTCCTAAAGACTATTTGCTGGTCCATAGCACTACCGCCAACATCAACGACGCTCGAGATCTGGCATCTGTGTTCTGGAAAAAGTTTGGTCGATTGCCAGAACTTCAATATCAGTTACCAGCCACTGGAAAAGCATTGAAACTTTGGATCGCGTTATCTTTTCTATAACGAAAAACAACTTCCGATATCGATCCATTTATCATGATGTATGGGAAGCATTACTTAGTCTGAGGGAACACGTACTGGAGTCAAAGGCCAGAAACTAGCCATGCCAAGGATGGAGAGAGACCAGATAAATTGGAGGATCATTAGAAACATGCTGGAAGTAATTTTACAAGATTCCGAGGTGCGAATACTGGTCTGCAGCCATTCACCTAGGGTCCAGGTTTCAATAAAAACCGTCCCTTGTTACTTCCATGCAACTGGAACTTGTAAAAGAGGATCCAGTTGCAGATTTAACCATTCAGTTTTAGTTCCAGGAGGAAAAGCGCAAAAGCCTACCATGTGCTTTGTGTACTCCTTGTCCGCGGTATGAAGTCTAATGCTGGAAATATAGAGACAAACGCACCGCTTCTCGAAACTTCCAGAAAAAGCGATACGTGGCCGTTGAGTTGTAGATATGGAATTCTCGGACATTCAACATCGTCTAGAAACTAATCGTACAGAATTGGGCTTTGTATAAATAGCGCGTGTTGTCGACGGACGGGCAGATTGAATTGAAGTGTTAGACAGTAAAGATAAATTTAATAAATAAATTAGAATTGTGAGTTATAATAGGGCATAAGTTTTATATAAATGAATTAGTACCTTATAAATAAATTGTAAATAAATAAACTATAAATAAATTAAGCTATCGTTACAATACATTGGCATCATCCTTGATACCGGTCTGACATTTAACCAACATGTCGACTCTATGTTTGCAAGGCATTTAGAATCATCGGCATCATACCACGCCACACTCGTCACATTTATATACCAAGGTCATTATATTCGAAACATTCTTGAATTATGTGCTTTAGTCTGGATCTATACAGGCCGCATCAACAGAATTGGGCGGATACAACAAAAGTTCATCAAATATATTCTCTCTAAGTTTCGTTTTTCTTACCAGAATCCTTCATACGAAACGCCTTTGCTATTTTGTGTTATGCATTCATTTGAAGTAAGAAGGAAACAATCTGTTTTTTTTTTGTTCCTTTTTAAACTACTAACTGGATTTATCTCATGCGACATTCTTTTGGAAAAGACCAACTTTCTGACTCATACTCCACATTAAACAATATTGACCGTATTTGCCTAAACTACAATAAGTTTTACCGTGAATATTTTCAATGGCCGTTTTCATCGTCGTCAAACATTTTGTATTGCTGAGTAAGTCGTGACGATGAACTGTCAACCGTTGCAGCGCTTTTGGATAATCATAAAAGCGCAAATAAGTTTGCTTTTATGCTTTAAAAGCATAAAATTACCTTGAACCTCTAATAATAATAATAATAATAATAATTAGCTCTACAAATCAATCCAACTCAAAAATAATAAGGAAAACAATATAGCCTTTGCCAGTTCTCCCACTTTATACAGATAAATTGACAGGTTTGCGGCGAATCTAACCGAAGTGGACGTGATACATTGGCGTACAAAATTATTTTATAGATGTTAATAACAATTTCGAGTAAATAGTTTAATAAATTGTGAATAGCTGTTGAAATTTTGTAAAATTATGATTTGAATATTATAATACATCTTTAATAATTATTTATAGTCCATAAATACATGCGATTGTCCGGTTCCGCCGGTAACAATTTAAAATTACTTATTCTATGAAACGACACTGGCAGGTAAACATTACTGCGAAATTCTCGAAGCCGTCCGAGGTGGTTTGATGTTTACCCCCTCTCTACCAACCAAAAGGCTTTCCAACTTCTACTTGTGCTACACACATAACCTTATGTATGCCAACCAAATTTTCGAGGTTTAGAAAACAAATCGTAAACAAAAATTATCGTTCACCGCTTATGAAACGTGTTTCTCTGATTTTAAAACATGTTTGACGACGATGAACACGGCCAATTTAAACTTACCAGCCCTTAAGAGCAAACCGGACCTATCGCGAAAAGCAAAAATGTGTGAAGATTTTCTAATATAAAATTGAATTTATATGCACACCACTGGGAATACTTCGCGATGTTGTGTCTCCAGAATATTGAGAGCTTTAAATTTGTGCAATGATAAGGCAGCATCTACAGAGACATTAAAAAAGAAGGTGGGAAAAAAGCAAATTTTCATAGATTTAATACAGAATGGCGCCTAAATGTTTTTTTTAATTCCTTTTAGAAATTGTCAAAATAAATACTTTAAGAAGATTTACAAAACAATCCAGGTTTCTCTATCTTTAGTTTTGTTATTATCATTTTACAAAAGTCTGACTAAAAATAAAGGTTCAGAAGGAATTACAAATGTTCAAGGTGTTCAGTTTGCTCTTACTCAAATTCGGCTGTAACTTTGTTCTTTTAATGTATTTTACTTTAATTTTGTATACTACTTAGGAATAAATAAACCTTTTTACTTTTTAGCATAAATTTTCAACCTAGGGTTTGTGGAAGACCAAAAAAGTAAGCATTCATTTATTTTCTTAATTTTACCGTTTCTGTATGTAAAGAAAAATGAAATGTACTTATGATCTGCCGATAAATATTAATACGAGGGTCACGCTTATATGAATGAAATTCACAAAAACTATAGGGACTATGATAATGAAAATTCACGTTTATTCAAAGTACTCCCCTCCAGCATCAATACACTTTTGAAGTTGAATTTTCTACTTATCGAAGGCACTCGTTAACAGGGATGGAGTCAAAATACGCATGTATGGCACAATCGATTTCTGCTTTCGAATTAAAACGACTTCGCAAATTCTTTTTTAAATTAAAAAGTAACCAAAAGTCATACATTGCGAGATCTGGCGAGTAGGCTGGATGTTCAACAACTTTGAGGTTGTTTTCTGCCTTATGAGAGGACGCATTGTCGTGATGTAGCATTAATCCTCTTACTGACAGCTCTTGAATAACAGCAGGAAGGTGATCTTGAGTGTAACAAGCAGCTGTGACTGTCCACTGTCCCTCTAACATAATGGCTTTCACAAATCTGAAGAAAACTGCGTACATGACTTTCTTTATTGCACGTTGTCTTTTAACGATTGATGGAGGTGGGGCATCTTCAAAGACCCATACTCTACTTTCCTGACGTGTTGGGATAGAGCATCATGTTCAAATACCAAGCATTTTTATATAATCATCAGGTCCATTATTTGGTGAAATTTTTAAAAATAGAAAATGTCTTCAGTTTGGATTTGAAAACGATGGTCCTTTAGCCCATATTTATCTTAAAAAAAGTTCTTCACCTTATATTTTTCTATAAATCCAGTTCGTCTTTTTAATTAACGGCTTTGAAAATTATTAGCATAAAACAGCGTGCCATTTGCATAAAAAATCGTGCCATTTGTATAAAAAGAGTGGCATTTTTCTCAAAAGCGGGACATTTTCGTACTGTGGCATTGAGCGTACAAGCAAATTAAAAAGCGTGGAAAATACGCCTAAAGCGTGACGTCTGGCAACCCTAGTTCTTCACCCATCACATTCTTTGAAATAATTCGATGACCACCATTATATAGCATTTGCAGAGTTTCCTTGCTAATTCGTACACGCTCGTATTTTGGCTCCAAAGTTACGTAATGGGGCTTCTTTCATGCTCTTCGTCCTTAAAACTACTACGACCTGTACAAAATCATAACAGATGATAGCAGAACCTAGCTTGGTAATGATCGCTCTGTACTTCCATGTTTAGCACAATTCACTTAATTCTCAAACTGATAAAACTGAATTTATACATGTTTGGTGCTGCAAAAATTGTGGACTAAAAACTTTTTAAAGCAAATACTTGTTGCGAATCTCATTCATATCAGAGTACCCCTCGTATTTTAAAGATATAATAAAACAAAAAGTTATGCAAACTATAAATCTAAGCCGATACCGTTGTACGTTTTAGAAATACTGAACCTGCGATCAGCGTTGATGATAATGGCCAAGTTACTTGTGTTCCTTGTCAAATTAAAATCCCCGAAGAAGAATGGATTGATCACAATGAAAATAAACATTCAAATTTATCATGGAGAGAAGGAGAACATGTAGTGGTGAGCAGGAAAAAATATTTTGCAAAGGCTCAGATATATTTTCCATTTGACGAGGGTTGATTTTTTGGCAATTGTCTGGGTTTGTAGCGTGGGCAGATTTTTTTCATTTCGTGTCAACTGCTCCTTTTGGATCCGCCGGTAATGGAGATCAACCCTCATATGTCTGAACCATCTATGTTTGAACGAGACTAATTTTTGTCGTATTTTTACAGTTATTAGACCAACCATCATTACTTAAAGACAAATTGAAACCTTTGTTAAAAAAAAATGGATCATTGACTTGTACGAAATGTAAACAAAAATTTATGAAAATTTTACCCTTCGTTTCTCATACTGAAGAATGTATCGGTATAGTCGTGAATGGAAATGTCACTTGCTCTTCATGCAATAAGAGCATGCCTAAAAAAGATTGGTCGCACCACAAGATTAGACATAATAACATGACCTGGAGAGTAGGGGAACATCCACTGGTAAGTGGTAATATATACTATCAATTCTTCGGTGTTTTGAATTTTGAATCGGTTATTTTATAATCAGTTTTGTTTTATGGGTATAAATAAACTTTATTTTACTGATATTTTCAACAGTTATCCCAGCATAAATGTTTCTAAATTGGACCATGACCGAAAAAGACAGCTACGACTCCGACAGCGTTAATTTTTCAAAGGCCTACTTTAGAAATATTTTTTGTGGATCCATCGGACTAGTATGTGCACTTTCCCAAACTGCCCTTCACTATTATTAAGTAATTACAATGGTATTGTATTCAGTTTATGGCTGTAAAATTCGAAGTGAAAAAAAAAGGAATAAGGAATTAAATTTCACCGGTAAAATAGAGAAGCTGTAGAACCAGAAATGTTTTTAAAACTGGTTAATATTTCAAATGAATAAGAAAGTCGATCATAATATAAAGAACAATTCTCTAGTAAGTTTTTATTTTAAAATCATTGAACTGCAATCACATCTAGAAATAGAATACCGTGTACACCCAGCAATTTTTCTTTTGTCTTTTCATTTTTTTTTAATTTCAACTTCAAGGAGAACCATTGTCGAACCTCATCACATGAAGTGACAGTCTTTTCGCTTTTTGTTCATGTCACTTTCCATAAATATATATGGTAGTGGGTGTGTGTACTCTTCATCTTCGTAGAGCACAGAAATCCATGATTGTCGGAAATTTATTGGATGTAATAAGTACAAGATAATGTGTTAATTTTTATGTTAAAGTAACATTATTGCTTTCAAGATGACTAAATTGATATTTTGAATTTTCGGTTGATACTTCGAATACACCAACACTATGAAAATAAAAAATGTGAGTTTTGAGTATATATATATTAAATTCCTCGTTCTACTATATTCATAGCTTAGACAGAGAAAGGGATATGCATCTCCTCTATTTCCTTATCTAAAGTCTTGTTTCAACCACTAATATACACGGAATTTGAGCCCTAGTCGAGTAATATTATCATCCTGTATATTCTGGATCAGATCCTGCTAGACCCCCACCATCCCCCCTACTTGCGTCTCTACAGGGACATCAATATGTGTTGCGTCGTCTACTTTGTGTAACTTGTGCGTAGACATTCTGTTGTGTCCACCGTCCTGTAAAGATTCTCCTAATCTCCTTTGGCGACTAGGAGGGTCTTCTCCAACCAGGCGGGTAGTCGCCTGTTATACAGTTCTTGTCTGTTTCGTGTTTGTTAGTATTCTGAAAGAAAAATCGAAATAAAAAATAGCAAGAAATCTTATTTTTAACCGACTTTAAAAAAGGAGAAGGTTCTCAATTCGTCGCGATATTTTTTTTTATGTATGTTCAGCGATAATTCTTTAACACGGTGTCCGATTTTAATGATTCTTCTTTGTTAGAAAGGAGACACTTCAGGGGTGGTCCCATATTAATTTGGCCAAAATCTAATAATTGGGTCCATTAGAAAATCCTCAAACTCTTCATTTTTAATGTATGTTTAGCAGTAATTCTTTACTACCTTGTCCGATTTCTATGATTCTTTTTTTATTAATAAAGGGGTACCTTAGGGGTGGTCCCCTATAAATTTGGTCAAAATCTAATAATTGGGTCTATGAGAATATCCTCAAATTCTTCATTTTTTATGTATGTTTAGCGATAATTCTTAACCACCTTGTCCGATTTCTATGATTCCTTTTTTGTTAGTAAGGGGGTACCTCAGGGGTGGTTCCATTAAAATTTGGTTAAAATTTAATGATGGGGTCTATGAGAAAATCATCAAACTCTTAATTTTTAATCTATTTTCAGCGATAATTCTTTATCACGTTGTCTGATTTCTATGTTTCTGTTTTTGTTAGAAAGGGGATACCTCAGAGGTAGTTCCACATACAATTGGTCAGGATCTGATGAACTATGAGAAAATAAAAAAAATCAATTTTTTAGGGCACCTGCACGATTTTGAAGTCGGTTTTTTAATTAAAAAAAAATTATTACACCTACAAATTTTCTGTCACTCTCCTCAATGATCCAGCAGTTCGCGTTGTCTAGCATGTCTACTATATTAATCTTGTGTATTCGGTGACACAGATGTTATACATTGTCGGCCAGTTAATGTTTTCCAGTACGCTTTGCACAAGTCTGTGTGAAGTCTACGATACAGAGAGTTAGCATTAGTGCGAGCAGGAAACGATCAATATCAGGGTTTCTAATTTATACGATCCGATCAGCGAGATAAAATGAAGTAGAGGCGACATATACACTAGTTTCTGATATGACAGATGGACGCACTTAGCGCTGTGAAGAGTGATGGAAGAGTGTTATCAAAATGAGTCTTATTTTGATTTATTTGAAGTCAATAATTGTATATTTGAAGATTGATGAAATGAAAATGTTTTTATATTATTTAAATGAAGCTATTTTAAAAAAATGGTCTTTGTTATCACCGAAACTGACTAGCTCGAGTTACGAGCTATTTTGACACATGACGTAAAGGTGTAATGCAAGGGTGCGGGCACATTTAGGGTATGGTCCGTTATTAACCGAAATATCGGTTACTCGCTCCAAAACTAACCGCTCTGCTTGACATTCCTGAAAAATAGGTTAAATTAGGGACGCGGTTACCTGAAAATGGTGACTTAAACGTCAATTCAATAACCGCTATATTTTTACGGTTACTATTAAGTCGAATGTCAATCTGTCACAAAAGTGACGTAAATTTCGGCCGTGGTTCAAAAGTAACCAAGAAATTAGTTTTTTTCAGGAGCCGCTGTCAAAAAACCCTGGTTACTTGCGGTTAGTAGTCGGTTAATATCGGTGTCCTTATTGGTCTTCTGCTCTCACTAAAACTAACTCTTTGTTTTCACATGCACTTGTACCTCACATTTTTCACTGACGTACAAGTTGTATTTAATTATTTATTATTGGAAAATTTATTTGTATGTATATAGGGGAGGGGTTGTTGGCTTCAAACTATAACCACAGAACGTTTTTAGTTTTAACTGTGTGTTGATATTTGATTTCTTAAGGACATTCATTATTACATCAAATATACAGGGTGGGCTACCGAAAACTTTTCACACAGGTTTTATTGATGCATAAAACAAAAAGATGCTCCTACTAGTCGATTTTAGTTTGAAGCCACTTTTTCTCTTTGCAGCATTATCACTTCAACCCTCGTGCAGTGGGTTGAATAACCCCTATCATTTAAATATGGAAAAGTACCAAAAGGAAGACTATCCATTGGGTGACTTTTGATTTTAGCGCCCTATAGCTTGATAAAAACCTGTTACGTATTGTAAAGTGTGACACTTTATTTGAAAATAAATTTTATTACTAATTCAATGTACCACAACATTAATCTAAGTATCTCCATATTGAACTTGCAATAGTCCGAAAATTATTCATTGTCTGCATTATTGCTAACCTTATTTTGTTGCAAGATTAATGTTATGTGGTAGGGTGCTTTGAATTAATAATATGAAGTGTCACACTTTACAATACATAATAGTATTTTATCAAGTCAGAGGGCGCTAAATTCAAAGGTAACGCAATTAATAGTGTTGTTGAATTTTCCATCAAATTAGCTTTTCAATGATGTGTCATCCTTTTTTCCTATTTAAATTGTAGGGGTTATTCATGTTCGCTTGAGGGTTGAAGTGCCGAGGCCCACCCCATATGTTTATCAAATGTACTTAGTAATGTACATACTGTTAGTTGGAACATTTACTTTTGGTGAAACTAAAGATTTCATATTGATACAATTCACAGACTGTTAAATTGTCGCACTCACATGTAGGGCTCTCATTGATACCTATTCCACAGAGGCGTACTGGAAAACACCCGTGGTTCAGTTTTAGACTTGTTATAGTTCTGGAATATGACCTATTGATATTGTATGAAAAAATGTGTTAATTTTTTTGGCAGTGTAGGGTATATCAACGTAATGATTGCTGGAAGTTGACACATAAACATTATTGTCACGGAATATGTTTTGGTTGAATTTAATTTTTTTACTTTCATTGGATACTCTCATGTGGACTCCAAACTGTCTTGCACTTCCAGTTCAATATGGAGTTCAATGATTTCAACGGAAAGGACATGACTAGAAATATACTCCTTGTTATCCTACATAATATATATCTTAATTTAAATGACGTAGATACAAGGTGGCGCAAAATCAAGTACCCTATGGAATGTTGTAATGGTTTCGTTTGTAGTTGACATCTGTTCGAGTTTTTCTGTCAGTTGCAAAGTAGATACTTGGGAAATTCATTATGAATCGATATACGCCTCGAGAACGTGCCGAAATCGTAAAAAATGTTTGTTAAAATAATTCGACGCTTATCAGAATTTTTCCTGAACGCCTTATCTCGAAAAACGCCGATATTGCATATCCGCAAAGGTCTCCCGATTTAACTGTTCCACACTTTTGGGTATGGGGTTATCTCAAAGGTAGGGTATTTGTAAATAATCCTCGAACACTAGAAGCATTAAAAGACAACATCCGGGAAGAAATTGACAGAATACCACCTGAAATGTTGGAGAAAGTTATGAAAATTGCTTTAAAAAGAGCTCATTATTGCATTAATGCTGGGGGTGGCCATTTGGTCGATATTGTTTTTAGTGTGTAACGAAACAAATTTTTAGAGTTTAAGTAAATATTTTTCATTTATAATATTTTAATATAATATTTTTTAATTAATCTTACTGTTATATAAAAAACAAATAGGGGACTTTATTTTGCGCCACCTTATATAATGAAAGGATTTTTTTCTAGGATCTAAACAATGAAACATTCGTTTTGACGACCTTAAATGCGTTATACAAGGCCAAAAAGCCTTTGTACTGCGAAAAATGTGGTATAGTGAAGAAATCGGTGGTTGGACTTTTGTCGCATTTGGGACAATGTGGCAATACGGAGCAAGCGAAAATTGAGTGCGAGTTGTGCGGTAAAAAAGTGTTACCCGTCAGTCTACCGACCCATATCAAACTAGCGCATGAAACTGCCAAAAAGGTTGAAACGACATCAAATTACTTTCAGGTGGATTTGGAGGTGTCACAGAAGAGGAGAAAGGCTGCTACCAAGTGAGTCAAATTTATTATTAAAATGGTAGGTATTATATGCCATCGTACGAACGGCGAATATTACTATTTAAATTTTACAAAAAGCTTCTAGACACATTGAAACTTATGAAAAATAACAATTTTGGGTCCGTTGACACTTAAAAGCTTAAAAAATGTGAATGAAATCATTTAAGTTAATTTCTTGTTGTCGGCTAAATATTTTTATTAGACTATTCATAGCGCAATAAACCATATAATATTTTTTCTTAAATGTTTATAATTTTTTCGTTTTTGTTCTTCAGTTTTGGAAGAACAAAGAAAGAAGTATTTTTATAATCATTGACAATATGAAAATTAACATATCTATAAATGCGGTTTTGCCAAATATAGTAAGAAAACTTAGAAGACAGGAAATCCACCTTTCCCATTATTCGACAATTTCGCATTACTCATGCGCGAAAGAAATGCGGGACTTTTGAATCTAATAATTTTCCAAACAATCTCTGTCTCTCTTATCCTCGCCTTACAACTGTTGAGTACACATTTGCACAAGGCTATATTATAAATATATTGTTAATTCTTATCCTGTATAAGGTGGATATACTTTGTTACAATAATTGACCTACCGGTGAAATGCCCTGCAAGCAAGAAGGAGCTGTGAGCCGAATTTCAAGAAGGTGGCAGCAAACTTTTTTCTGCTAACTTTTTATGTAAATATCTGAAAGTTTCAAGTTTGCGCTTCTATGACAGCATTTTCTACACAGGTTTTTTTTAAAACATTATCATCATCACTGCCCAGCAAACTATTTCCATGATCTACAAGGTGATAATGAACGAAATATTTGAAATTTTACCTTTCGCAAATAACACAACTAAAAGTGTCACTAGCTCCCCTATCAATACTTACCAATACATTTGTGCGGGTGTGTAATTGGAAATCAAGGTAGGAAACAAAAACAATAAAGTTTGATGATTTTAAGCAGAAGTAGTGTAAGAATTTTGATTACACATATATGATGACACATTTCAATTGAGCAACCCGCATATCACGTATTGCAACATTCACACGTCACAAACATTTTGGAACGTAGAAATACGATCGCTAGGCAAGGTGTTGTTTTGGCAGAAGTCAACGAAAAAGATTCAAATTTATTCTTGTAATCTCTATTTTTTATCTTGAAATGAAAACCCTTTATTAATTAGTAGAAATAATAGTTTGTTGCTATCGTAATTGTTAATTTGTTTATGTTCATGTTAACATTACACACATATACAAGTTCGCAGTTTTTTATTGACTTATTCGAGCTGTGGCCAGTCTAAAAATTTGCACTTGTGATGAGGATGTAGTATAATCCTCAGTCATATGGTCATTCGAGCCGGATGTTATAAGAAAAAGTCGTCAGCCCTTAGTAGAATTTACAACTCCCATCACTTAAGAAATTGAGCTTAGTTTAAGTATATAGTCACATAAGAAGACCTTCCTTCATTGATCCATCTCAACTCGTAGTCATCGAGCCTGGTAATAATCTCTACAAACTCAATACAGTTCAAGTTATTCTTCGAGCCTAAGCAGCAGTATCATCCTCAGTCAAGTAGAATTTACGCATTGAATAATAGTGATCATCAAATAATAAGAAAGGACTATAGGTCGATTAATGAAAAATTACCTAAAAATGACCATTGACATGTTCTAATTTAACTGGCTACAATGTATATTTTTGACATTTTTTAAAAGAGGCAGGCTACATAGATGTAAACAAAAGTTTTAATAAACTCTTAAGGCAGAAAACTAAATTTTTTAGACAAAATTTGTATGGTTGTAGGCTCTAACCATAGCAGTTTCTACAACAAGAAATCAATCAAAATGATGTAATTCACATATTTTTAAGATCGAAGTTGGAAGTAAAAAATATTTTTAAGCATTTTCATGGCAAAACAAGTATTTTCAGAGAGTCTAAAATGGTTTTAAAAAACGCGAAAATTGAGCCCGTTCGGACGGTGGCGAATTTTTCCAAATGTTATTTGGTTTGGTATATTTTATATATCTGGCAGTGGACTAGGTTTGCTTTAAGAACAGGCCAGGTATATCATCAACTTTTTGATTGGACACGCCCATCAACTACAGAGAAAGCTATTTTACTTGGACTAATTCGTTTGGGATGCATTTTTACAAAATTTACCAGGCCTGGATCATTAACTCATAAAAGAAACATTAAATTAAATATGATGATTCACCAATCAGTGGGCGGGGCGCTATTGTTGACGTGTCTGAACTGTTCTTAAAGGAAACGAATTCTAAAAAAGCGTTTTAATAAATTTATGGTTTTAGAGCTATGGCTAAAATTGACGAATTTTCTTCAGATACAAAAGAAACACTTACGGTGAGTAATAATAAAAATCACAAGCAAACATTTTATTCATTTACCCTTCTAGCATTTTATTATAAATATGAAATTTGAAGACAACGATTTATTAATGGCGTTCATAAATAAAGAATTAGAAGAAAATAATTTTGTCAAATGCAAAATAAGTACCTGCGAATTTTCGAGTGTGAAAATTTTAGATGCATTGTCTCACCTTAAAGATTGCTCTTTGAAACTGGACCAGGTAAGTCAATGTACTAGTTTGGAGGTGCATTTAAAATGAATTTAAAAATGTTCGTAGCCAGTAGGAAACTTTAAATTGAAGTTGCTTGAATATGAAGGTTTACCATTCTCTGAACGGTCAAAAAACTATTTGAACCAATAGAATGCGCGACGCTGATTTCGTACGGTTTCTTGATGGTACAAAACTATAAATCGGTTGGAACGCTTATTGAATTGTTAAATTGTACCGTGTACCTACTGTTTTTAATTACCATTGACTGTTGTGTGTTTTTCTCTCTTATAACCTTACTTTAGTTGGCACCCGACACATGATATGTTCCAACACATGTGAAGAACACAATATTACAGCATAAATCGTATGCTGTATACATTTTTTTGCGTAGAGTGCATCATTTAAATCGTAATATTTAAGTTTGTTCCAACAGCTCCTTTTTGATGTGTCTCTGACTCGTACATGAATGCGCATTCATAAACTAATCACTGCGCATGTCAGTCGATTTATTCGTCCTTGTCCTCGTCAGCGACTTGTCCTTGTTGGAACGCAAAATATGGAATTGGACAAACCAAATACATATTTGGTAAATATGTATTTTAAACATTATTTAAATACAACAAAATACATTTATTTCGAACGATCTATGTGAGTGTATAATTTTAAAAGCTAAAAAAAACCGTACACAAGATAAAAACAAAAATTATTTATTTCAGTTAAAAGAAATGTAATTCCAAGCCACACCAAGCTAACTTAAAATCCCAACAATTACAAACAAATAGCAAAAACGAGAAGAGACGTTTAAATGCGCATGTGCTGATAAATTGTACGAACGATGAAGCTCTGATTGTTTTGACAATACACCGACTCGTTCGTGTAAGAATCAGAAAATACGTTGGAACGTTTTACTGACAGTTCATCAGATTATCCATGGCTTTGTAGAAACGGACTATTTTCAATGCACAAGCGTCTGACGTCCTTCTGATGATCAGATTAGCTGTTGGAACAAACCTATTATGATTTTCGCGTGTGTCGGAACAGACCCACAATAATCAACGGTCAGTAGTATCAATACGTTCATGTCAGACCAAGTCTGACACTCGAATTTTCAACAGCGATTTTGATCTCTCTCTGGCTGTTCTTTTTTATTTTTCGATCCACTTATTGCTTGTATTTTACCGAAATTCAAAATTTTAAGATATTTCTTACGTTTTTCCTATTTATACCTTAAGAATACGAAACAAAAAAAGGAATCATTGGCTTTGTTCATAGTCTCAAAACGTGTTTTAAGTATAGATTTGCGATTTTTATTTTTGCAGCAACTAAGGATCTTTCGATCGTATCTAATTTTCCTTTCACCAGCACCTACTTGATTTTTTATTCAAATAATTAATGTCAACAATTACTGCCGTGTACTCTTATATTTTCATAAAGAATCTCAATTTTTTTCAAATCAAAATGGAGAGTAAAACTAGTTAATGAAATAATTTTGAAAAACAAAAGATCGGATTTTCAAGAAAGTCCAAAAATTAAAAGTTCGATTAGAACATTTTTCGAAAGAACAAAAGTTCGAATGAAAAAATTTCGAAAGTACATTGATCGAAATGGTAGAAGATCTATAGAATTATATTACGAAATTAGTAAATTGTTGTTTTTTTATTGTTATGCAGTGTGTCCAAATTTTATTCTTACTTTATGAAAAAAGTAATTCTTTATAAAAGGTTCTGCATGGTCCAAAACTTAAAATGCAACCTTCAGATATTAAGTTTTTAAGCCGTATACGAGGTTTGTCAAAAAATATGATTTTTGCTGGAGAGTAAAGTACCTTTATTTTTGACAAACCTCGTGTATGACTGATACAATTTGGTATCAGATGATTGAGTATTGGGTTTTAGGTCATAAAGTACTTTTTATGAATAACTTTTTCCCTAAAATTAATAATAAAATAGTTTTTCAAATACCGTCAACGGTTGGTGGCATATGAGAAACTTTTTTGTTGTTAATATTAGGAAAAAAGTTATTCTTTAGAAAAAGTAGAGCATCGAATATCAAATTTTATCAGTCGTATACGAAGTTTGTCAAAAATGAAGGTACTTTACTCTTCAGCAAAAATAATATTTTTTGACAAGCCTCGTATACAGCCCAAAAAAATTAATATCTGATTGTTCCATTTTAAATTTTGAACCATGCAGAACTTTTTATAAAAAAATGTATTTTTTTCATAAAACTAAGAATAAAAAGGTTTCCCATGTGGTCTTAATTGGACACACTGTATTTTTTTTTTTTGTAAAAAATCCCGCGGTGTCTCCAGGACGCGCAAGTTAGGTAAATTGGTTAAATTTTGTTATTTTTCGCATTTTATGTATTTTTATGCGAGCAACATGCGATGGGGCTTCAGGCCGCACAATTTAGGTAAATTAGTTTTTTTTTTAATTAGAATACTAGGAAAATATTTTTGTTTTCTTTATTATATTTAACATTTAGATTTAGGGGAGAATGTTCCACAGTGAAACACTTTTTTAATTTATTTCTCGATTCTACTTACAAAATCAGGATCCCACTTTTATCAAAAATTTTAATTAACAGTACATTTACCTTTATAATAAAATATTAAAATTAGATGCAATTGTGATTTGTTTTTTTTTTGTAGAACAATTTAAAAAAAAACTGTATTTTGTTTCACTATGGAACACTAGTGGGGTACAATGAAACGGCAGAAATAAACAATTAAAAATAGGTTTTTATTTTTTACAAACACAAAAATGAAAACACTGCAAATTAAAGTAAACTATTAACTCAACAGTAACTAGGTGTAACTGTTAAATTGATGTTTCATTAACGAACTTCAATATTGGTGAAGCTAAGTTCAATTGAAATCAGATCCACTTGTCTTTTTGTTTTGCCATGCTGATTAGGCTTTGGCAAGATCATATTGATATAGCTTTCAGGAACTACTGCAATGTCAGGAACTTTCGGTAAAACAAATTTGTCGTCTATTTTTGATTGCTTTCTATAAAATTGGACTTCAAAGTCTTGTTTTTTATCGCAGGTGCCTTTCAAGACTACCGCAACGTAATAAACAGTTTTTTAAATTTTTTCTGTTATTTTAAATTGCACCAATACAAAATCTCCAGCTTCTGGGGGGCGCACAAGATCTTCAAATCCATTTAGATTTACTTCAGGGATCCAGTTCTCCGTTTCGGAGCCAAGAGACATTACGTCTTCATTTTCTTCTTCGTCCTCTGAGGATTCGACAAGTTTGCGCTGAGCATTTTGGACAGCTGTAAATGTAGGCTTTTTTTTATTTCTTTCCTTTTCCTCTATCATCAATTTTTCCGGAATATCGGTCGCAATCATGCTTTTTCCCTTCCTTCTAGATATTTTACCCTTTCGTGCGGAAGCCTTAGGATAACCTCTGAATTGTTCAGGAGAAACATCCTACTTCTTTTTCTGTAGTAAGCAGTGGATTTTCTGTAGCTTTATTACTTTCATTTACTTCACACTTATTTCCTTGAGAAGTGGAAGCTTCGTTTTCATCTAAAGCGGGTCGATCTGTGACAGCTGAACTCAAAAAATCACTCTCATTAAACACATTTTTATCTAGCGGAAAGATTCCACTTCTTTTGAAACCTGATTTTATATTACTTGGCGTCATTAAACGATCAAAAGCGGTTCCAACGCACTCTGCAATTTGGTAGATGGTCATGGGTGTTCCTGGATGATGCAAAAGCCAACTATCTATCGCGGCATTATAATGAGCTTTAAAGGATGAAAAAACACTTACATCTAGCGGTTGTAGCCTATGACTACAATGAGGCGGTAAAGTTAGAATTGTAATTCCGTTTTCTCGAGCTTTGTCCACAGTAGCTAGTGAAATATGACTTTCATGGTTGTCCATGATTAAGAGCGTCGGTTATTCTTTACTGGATAACGTAAATTTAATAAAGTTATCCAGAACTTGTGGAAATATCTCGGAACACATCCATCCTGAAGTGGTAGCTAGCCCAAGCGTACCATGAGGAGCTCCATTAATCATGTGTGTTTTATAATTTTTCCGCTGGAAAATCATGACTGGAGGCACTGCGGTACCGAGGACGTTAATAATACAGCATGTAGTTACGTTTTGTCCTCTTTCCTCGCTTGTACATTTATTTACCTGCTTGATTCCTTTTCCAGCAATTATTTTTTTCGGATTCTGGACTGTGGTCGTTGAGGTTTCGTCTAAATTGTAAACCCTTGAACCATCAGAAAAATGTTCACTACGCGAATAAACAGTTTCCAACTTGTTGAACAATGATTGTACATTGTGTGGGTTGAATGATGTCATTCGTGATAGACTGCAGCCCTCAGGTGAACGAATATTGATACTAGGATGGCGCTTTCTCAAGCCTCTGAACCATTTCAAACCTGCCTCTTTATTTTTTTACCCAGTTTTCAGGAATCTGTATTTTATTTTGTATTGCCATATCGTAAGCTAATTTTCTGCATTCTGTTACCGTCAAACCGAAACCCATTTTTGATAGGTTTAAAACATAATGAACCAACTCCTTTTCTTGATCTATATCAAAAACCTGTCTGCAATTGTAGTTAGGAGTAAGTCTAATTTTTTCAAGGGGATTTTCTCTTTGTCTTTTGGCATAGCGAAAGAGGGTAACATAAGCAACTCCTGTCATCTCAGATACCTTTCTTAAACTTAAACCTCCATTAACTAGATTTATAGCATTCTGCATTGTATCTGCAGATGTTAGACCCATTGCAGTCTTCCGTATTCTATTTCTGGCCCTAGAAAAAAAAAATTAAATAAGCAAAACCAAAAGAAAAGATAAAAGAAAATATGGGGCAGACTGAAACATCGATGGTCCACAGTGAAACACGTTTGTTTCACTGTAGACCATATACATCCTCAAAAAAAAAACAAATTTTATAACAAAACAAAAAATATTTTAATTGCTACTTACATTGTCTAAGAATAGAACTTTCTCTTTCCCCAAAAATAACTAAGAAATTATAAAAACTAAACCGGTAATTGTTTCTTAAAATTTGAGCGTGGCGTTACTTTGGATCCTCTCTCTAAACTGAAATGCTGCCCTGAGCGATGATGCATTTTGTAGTGGGAGTTATAATACTAGTCGAACTATTATCTACGTCATGGCGGTGGCTATTCGTTCGTTTTTTTTTTTTTTAGTCGGAATGTTTCACTGTGGAACACTCTCCCCTAACCATCTGAGTTCATGTGTGAGATTAGAGCACCCCCACTGTAATCAGGTAGCTATCAGGTACTTAACCATCTAAGTTCATGCTTGTTATATTTTAGCGCTTTACTTGCAAGACTTGTTTTTTAACGGAACCTACCGAAGAGGACATTATCGATCATTTGCAGAAGGTGCACAACCTTGAAATGAAACAGGAAGATCCGGAGTATGTTTATAACGATGAAGATAATAATGTACATGATTTTTTTCTGGATGATGAAAATGCTTTAGAAAGACCAAAGAAAAGGAAACGATACCTAAGAACACAACCTTATAAGGATACATCGAATCTTAAACGTAAGAATTTGGATCGAGTAGTTTCATTAATTTACGTGGGATTTACATCAAAGACTAGGACTAGTAGTAACAAAACTGTGTTAATCTTGAAACAACTATGGGCGGTCTGTCAAGGTTGAATAAATATTTTGTAATGATTGACATTTAGCCAAATGAAAGACTTCGATATTATAATAGTCCTTTCAATACTTCACCCCCTTAAAATTGAATTATGTCAGAGAGGGGAGGCTATTATTATGTGTATTTCCCGAAACCCAAATCAAAGTAACTTTGTTCCGGACACCGAGATACTCAAGGGTATTTATAAAGTTCCAAACCAGCTTTAAGTCAACTCGCTCAGTGCCTTGAAGGCTGCCTGGCTTTCCGAAAATATCCTTAGAGTCTTGTTGTCCATATAATAATAATAATAATAATAATAATAATAAATATACTCATATTAAATGATAAATGTTTACCCAATTTCGGATATAATATATGAACATATGAAACTATTTGAAATGTTCTAAAAGAATGTGCTATTGAAGTCCTATTAGGAGAAAGAGTTAGTTATTGAATCTAATTTATGACGTAGATGGAATTTGTTAATATGTCATAAATAGAAACGCATAATTATTATACAACATAGGTATTTAGATATCATTATAATAATGTAGGTTCTACGGGGTCTATTCTGTTAATTTCTTTAAAATTAACCCTGGGTTATAAAAATAATCGGATGTTATTTTTAATTTTGTATTCTGCATTATTTGGCATCCAGTAATGATTATATATTATCAAATATATTCTTTTTCTTCCTTTTAAAGCTGCGTTGGGCTTAATTTTAATTCACTTTTAGTCGTTGCCATATCTATTTTAACTGCGATTGGTTAGTAATAGTGAATGATTATTGCAGAATAATATTTTAAAATCTGACGATTAGCCTTTAATTTCAGTTTAGGTTCAGTCCCATTTCTCTGATGATTTTTGTTTGTAAAAATTGTGTCTGCAAACAGCAACACTACATATCACTCCATACAAGCTAAAATTTAAAATTATTTCATGGAATAAAGAAAATTTGGTCCGAATTCGACCCGGAGGCCGTACCCTAACCCAAAATGTTTAAACTAAACCATTCGTACAATAATACTTCTCTTTATAATTCAATTAAAAAGTAATGCATTTGAAATTCTATGGAAATCATTACGTGAGTTTTTCTGTTTTGTAGCTTATCATTCAAAAAATCAAATCACCGATATTATAAAAAATTTATCACTGGAAAATAGTCCAAAAATAAAAATACCACTAAATATTAATAAAACATAAGATTTTTTAAAAAAGTAATATACAAATCGCAGCTGAATATTTTCTGTGCCGTCACAGCAACTCGACGAGACCACCGTATTGTCTACGAACCATCGATTGATTGGTTAAAATTTGAAACGTAAGTACCTAGCTATAGTGACAATTTACAAAAGGAAAGCGATGTGGTAACTTTACATTTTTTTTGGTTGACTGTTTGCGAACAGGAAAGACAATACGGAAATCGACTTGTTAACTTTACACTTTTGGTACGAGGTTTGCGAACAAGAAAAACTTTGACATTGTCGGTATTACTATACGTTGTTCGACTTTCATAGGCCACCCTGGATTTATATATTAAAAAATCTGATGTGTCCAACACATGACTTTCATATCTAGTTATTATGGGCTTTTTCCGGTTATTTTGTACAACCTTTTGCAGTACCTCTATAAATGTTTAGAGGATAAACTAAATATATACATTTTCCACATGCATCTACCTCGAAACATTTTTCTATAGATATTCATTGAAAACGAAAATACTGAAAAATTTAAATTTAGCACTCTTCCTCCAATTTTTCCATTACGGTCCATTTTAGAAAAATCATATATAAACAAATTTTTTTTTTTTTTTTTTTTAGAGATCGATATCGCAAACAACTTTTAGATCAACAATTTTCATAAAAATCAGAATGTTGCACATTTTGTCAAATTTCTCGAATACGGACCATTTCAGGAAATTTTGACATAAAGCAAAAATTATAGAAAATAATATTAGAAGTAACTTTTCTTTGAATAATTTTCTTCTCCAAACATAAATAACAGACATTCCATAAAATATAAAAACGGCCTCCCATAAAGTACCCCCCCAGATGTTCCGACTTTGTCCAAAATCTAATCATTTCGCGTCAGGCCGAAATAAAACTTAAGTTTAAAATTTAATGTTTTTTCTTTATCCGTTTTTGAGATTTCTTCAAAATTCGAAATTTACACATTTTCTCAAATATCTCGAATACGGTCCATTTTAGAGAAATTATGTATAGAATAAAAATTATAGCGAATTATATTACAAACAACTTTTATTTGAACAATTTTTATAAAAAAATATTTTTTTTTCATTTTGTCAAATTTCTCGAATACGGACCATTTTAGGAAAATTTTGGATAGAACAAAAATTATAGATAATAATATTAGAAGTAACTTTTATTTGAAGAATTTTCTTCTCCAAAAGTAAATAACAGATATATTCCATAAAATATAAAAATGTCCACCTATAAAGTACCCCCCAGATGTTCCGACTCTGCCCAAAAACTAATCAGTTCATTGGACGATGGAATAAAGCTTAAATTTAAAATTTGGTGTTTTTCTGTGTATCAGTTCATGAGTTATGGTGGATACACACACGCGCGCGCACGCACACACACATAGACATCATCGCGGAAATAGTCAAAACGGATTCAGGGGACCTCAAAACGTAAAAATCCGTCGAAAACTCGAGGTCGAAAAAATCATGATTCCTATACTTTCCTTATATCTGTATACAGATAGGAAAGTAAAAATGAAGCATATTGTAATAAATTCAGTTTTAGTCTTTATTTAAATTCCGTCGTATTTATTTAGGATTAAAAGTATTTACCATAAAGTTTACATTTTTTTTTATAATGGTATATAAGATGAAATTTGATTTACTATATATATATATATATTTATTTATTTTTTAGTGAAACCCCGTTTCATTCATTTAGTAAGCAGAGGAAAATATGCTGACAGTAATCTATTTTCGCACGCGTTTGAATACGCGTTTGAATTGTAAGTAGTTTTTTTGTATATCTTTACAACTGATAAACGATGATATTTTCAGTTGCGAGAAAAATTATAACATTAAAAGTCTATTCGATGATCTAAAGTGCGACGAATGTTTTTGGAATCTAATAGACGATGAACATTTGGAGAAATATATGCCGCTTTACGAATTATCGTGTGACGTTGTCATTAGAAAAGTAAAAGGATTAAAAAGTAAAAGTATTTTCAAAGATGAAATAGGGTTTAAGAAATATGAATTATTCGAAGTGGAACAACAAGATGGTAAAGTATTACAATTAGTTTGATTTAAGAACAGATCTTGCACGTCATCAATAGCGCTCCGCTCATCTCCCACTACCGTTGCTATTTTCTACTATCGGTAAAACAAATTTGTTTATGATTTAATTGTTGAAATATTCTTTTAATTATAAATGGCTGCATTAAATACTTAACATTGACTAGTGATGCCGCGAGACGAGAGAATCTCATCACTCGTCTCGAAGTTTTTTATCGAATTAAAATTAAAATTTCATGCCAGAAGTTTTTAACAATTTTTTTTTGGGAAATGTAAGAATCTTTTTTTTTATTTGTATATAACTTTTTGGGACACACTTTTTGTGTGAGATTTGTATGTTGTACAAACTTGTTAGGTAACCTACAGCAATTTTTTATATTGCCATAATAGGACAACAAAACTCTTGGTATTGCTTTTAAAATTCTATTTTGTTATTACAGAGTACGTTTACCTGTGTAATAAATGCTGTTTAAAATGTAATAGATTGTTTATAGATTTATAATTTGAATAAAATATATTAAAAATGAATTTATTTATTTTCCTCAATTTTCTTTTATTGATACGCTATCATATTAACAGAAAAGGCAATTTTTACTCATTTCCTCACCTCGTACCACACCTTCTTATATTTAATGTTAGCACGCTTATGAATTATTTGTTAGAAATGTGGGATCAGCCCTCGTACCCTGCTCATAAACTCAAAATATTTACCATTAATAAAGTAAATGTGGCAATCATTTTAAGATTATTTAAATTTCAGCTCGTACCACCATATTTTGCGGCGCCCCGGTACGCTGCATGGCGTGGATGCCGACCCCTTACGAATCTTTGAACCAGCCCCAAATTCTGGCCGTGGCGACGAGCAAACATTTCGACGAAAAATATAATCACTTGAAACATTATTCCGAAACGACTGTGATCCAGTTCTGGAATTTCGGTTTATTGCAGAATGGCAAAGATATCACCGAACCCAAACTTGAATTTTGCTTGGGCGTGGATAACGGGCCGGTGTGGTGTATGGAATGGTGCCCATCGGGGTGTTACAATGTGGATGGATCAATTGTGTGGAGTAGAAGGGGCTTGTTGGCAGTTGCTGGACATTCGATGCCTGTGCATATTTATTCTATACCGTTGTTAACAGAGGATCAAAGGTGAGGAACATAAATATTAATATGAGGAGAATAGAAATATGCAAAAAATAGAAGGAAAATATATTTTTTCTCTTTTTCTTCTATTTTATTTTAAATTGGTCACATTTGTGAAATTGGAATTTTTCATCTAGAAAAAAATTAAAACTAATAATTGTAATAAGTAACGACACTTGGAGGTAGATTCTGTAAAAAATCATATAAAATATACAGGCCTTTAAATATGTTGCTTTTACCCGCCATTTAATTTTTTTAATCCAAAACTTTTTTTTTGAGAATTGGGATCTAAACGTAGTTTCTTTGCCACAAACCTTTAAACCGAATAATTATTTATATTTAATATTTTCTTTAATTAAAAATCCAATAATTAAGTTATATATTTTCTCATCAAATGAACTTAATAAAATAGAAATACTTGATGGAAAAAGGATATTTAGGGAAGAAAGTTTTTTAAGAAAATCTCAACGATGATAATTATGGTGGGGGCTACACGAAAAAATGAGGTGGTTGATATCAGCAAAAGAAGAATTGTCGCATTGACAAAAAGGTGATATATTAATATCAAATCTGGAAAGGTGTGACGGAAAACCCCCATGATTCAGTTTCATCCTTGTCAAAGTCGTACAATACCTAGACAATTTAAAATTTGTAATGTGGGGAATAGATTTTGGAAGAATATGGTGAATAAATGTATATGGGTTATTTGAATGAGCAACAAAGTGTTCCCAAAGTTTCTCCCAGCTTGATCTAACATTTCGTTTCATTGCATGAATAATATCCTGCGGAGAATGAATATTACTAATAGTTGCAAGAAGAATGGATTCTTTAGCAGCTAAATCGACTTTTTAATTTCCAACTATCCCTTTATGACTTTTAACCCAGATGAAAACGATCTTGATTTTAGAATTATGAAGAGAAAGGAGACTGAATAATTTCTCTTAGGATTTTTGTTAATATTGCACGATTAGTTAGAAATTGATGAAAGTAAAACAGATTTCGAGTCTGAAAGAATAACCGATTTGATTTCTCCATAGCTTTTTATCCAAATGAGTGCTTGTAAAATTGCAAAAGCTATATAAACAGATGAATAATTGGTAAACGAAATTGGGAAATAAAGTTTTCATTTTCCACATAAAAAGCGCATACTGTAGTTTGTTTTCATTTAAACCCATCGCAAAAAATAGTATTAACTGAATCTAGCGTTCCCACTACCGATTTTATGATTATAATATTAATTTTAGAGGAAGAAGTAAACTCGGGGAATAAGATTGTTGGCTTGAACAATAAGGAGAAAAAATTAAAATGGTACATATGAAGAGTATCGTAAGACTCAATTTTATTTATGAACTGGTTTAAAGATACACAGGCTTCAGTCAAAGGTTCACTGTTTTTAAATTTCCAATATTTGTTGGTTAAGTTTTCAATATTCAGGATAAAGGAACAATTCAGTATTTTTTCCGAAAACATTTTAAATGTAATTAATTTTTTGCATGCTAGAAAATGTCTTCGTAAGTCAAGAGGAGGCTCTTGTGCTTCCGCAAGAACCGCTGGAGTAGGGAAAGATTTAAAAGCACCGAGACATATTTTGATTGCTTTAACTTTCATACAATCTAATAACTGTAATATGTTGACGTTACTTTGCAATAAAATGTTAATTTCAAAACACTTATAAGAAATTTTGACTAGCTCATAGAAATTTAACACCAAAAATTACTTACCTTTAATCAAATTGAAAAGAAATGAGCACATTGACTATATAGTTTTCTCAGTCGTGAATTCGGCTTTTCTAATAGACACCTTTGGAGATAATAGTTTTCTGGGAGAGAGGGACGCCAAAAATTCTTTTTTTATTTTTAGAAAGCTGGTGAGAATTATAAACCCTAGCTTTGTCAAAAGGTAATTAATAAAAACTTATATAAAATTTAATTTAAGTAAAAGAGAATTGTTGTAACCTTAAAAAAAATAATATTTTACATATAAATGAATTTCTTTATTAAACAGAAAACATATTCTTAAATGATACATTTGGCAATTGACCTAATTGGTCTTGGGATGGCACTCGGAGTTCGCAGGTTCAAGTCCTGCTCGGAGCAATGCCACATTGGTGGTTAGAGAAAATTGGAAACAGATCCGATAAACTTAGTTGGAGTCAAATCGTTTACTCAAGCTAAACAATAGGTCGCTGGATGTATATCGCTTCGGTTGTATAATGGTTATGAAGTTAGTTTGGCAACCCGGAGATCGTAGGTTCAAGTCTTGCTCGGAAGAGTTTTTTTTTTTTTTTTTTTTTTTTTTTTAAATAACTTTTCTCTGGTTGTTTTCGCTCCTTGGATATAAAAATAATAATTTTACATTTGGAATATTATGTACCTCATACCTTTTTCATTTTCCATAAAAGTTAGTGATTAGGAAAATATTTGTTCCTACATCCACATGGATATTAGCTATTCTGTGCACAAACTACAAATCGAAAAAGTAGGCCACTGGATTCAACTGAACAAATATATTTCATATTCATTCTACATATTAGGTTTGTTCCAACAGCTAATCTGATCATCAGAAGGACGTCAGACACATGTGCATTGAAAATAGACCGTTCCTGCAAAGTCACGGATAATCACATGAACTGTCAGTAAAACGTTCCAACCACTGATCTGTATTATAATACAGATCAGTGGTTCCAACTTATTTTCTGATTCGTACATAAATGTGTCGGCGGACTGTCAAAACGATCAGAGCTTTATCGCTTGTACAATGCATTAGCACATAGGCATTTGAATGTTTCTTCCCGTTCATGCTATTTGTATGTTATTGTTGTGATTTTAAGTTAACTTTGAGTGGCTTGGATTTCTATTTCGTTTAATTGAAGTGAATAATTTTTGTTTTTATCTTGTGTACGGTTTTTTTATTGCGTAAAAAGTACCTACTTTTAATAAAAATGACATCTTAAGGTTTCAAAATTATACGTACAAATATATCGTTGACCTAAGTAAATATATTATGTTGTATTTTAAATGTTTAAAAACCTATTCACCAAATATGTGGTTGGTTTGTCAAATTCCATTGCATTTTGCGTTCCAACAAGAACACGTCACTGATAAAACAACGGATGAATAAACGGACTGACATGGGCTATGGTTAGGTTACGAAGGGTGGCACAAAATTGATCGAAAAACATTTGATCGAATTGGAAATTCGATCGAAAATACATTTTATCGAATGGCATTTGATCGAAAATACATTTGGTCGAATAACATTTGATCGAATAACATTTTATCGAAAAGACAATAGATCGAAAATTCATTAGATAGAAAGGACAATATATCGAAAATCAACATTAAAAATAGTAAAATATCAAAAGATACCATTTAACCGTCCGTCTAATCCCTACTACCACGGAATCTAAACTAAGCGGCTATCAAAATTAGGTACTAATGGTAAATTTTTCAATAATCTCCTTTAACAAACTTTATCCTTACAATACTGTTAATTTAAAAATAATTATTTTAGAACTAAACGGTTATTTATCTTCATTTGGATTAAAAAAATGCAATTAATTCGCACAAAATATGTATTTCAACAAGGTAGAGTTGTTTCCCGATGGGGCATGTTAAGTAAATTATTTTAAGTTTTTTTTTATATAAAAAATTTAATTAATTTACCTAACCTGTGCAACCTGGAGCCGTCGCGGTTTACCTCGCAAAAAATATAGAAGAATAAGAGAAATTCAAACAAAAATTTTAACTAATTTACCTAACCTGTGCGGCCTGGAGCCCTCGAGGGTTGCTTCGCAAAAAAAAAATTATACAAACAAGGGAAAAATAAAAATTTACCTAACCTGCGCTATTTAAATTTAACTGATTGCTCTCGTGTATGTTAGGTAAGTTAGTTTAGTTTTTTTTTTATTATAAAAAATTTAATTTATTTACCTATGCGGCCTGGATCCTACGCGGTTATCCTTGCAAAAAAATATAGAAAAATAAGAAAACTGAAAACAAAAACTAACTATTTTAGCTAACCTGTGGCCTCGAGGGTGGCTTCGCAAAAAAAAATTATACAAAAAAGGGAAAAATAAAGAAAAACTAACCTATTTACTTAACCTGTACGGCCTGTAGCAATTTCACTGATTGCTCTGACACAGGTTAGGTAAGTTAGTTAAGTTTTAGGTAAGTTAGTTAAGTTTTTAAAAACCTAACTTACCTAAGCTCTGTCAGAACAATCAGTCAAATTGCCCTAGGCCGCACAGGTAAGGTAAATTAGTTAGGTTTTCTTTATCTTTATTTTTTTATAAAATTTAATTAACTTACCTAACCTGTATCAAAGCAATCAGTTAAATTGCTCCAGTCTGAAAACGTCGCGGTTTGCTTCACAAAAAAATTATAAAAATAAGAAAACTAATTTACCTAACCTGTGCTATTCAAATTCAACTGATTGCTCTCGCACAAGTTAGGTTAGTTAAGTACGTTACTTAAGTTTATTTTATTTTTTCATTTTTTGCTTTTGCGAAGCAACCATCGATGATTCTAGGCCACATAGTTTAGGTAAATTAGTTAAAAATGTTTTCATTTTTATTATTATTCTATAATTTTATGAATGTTTGGTTTTTCGATCAATTGCTTTTTCTATCAATTTTCTTTTCGATCATTTTCTGTTCGATCATTTTTCTTTTCGATCAATTGTTATTCGATAAAATATTTTTTCGATCAAATGCATTCGATCAAATGTATTCGGTCAAATGTTTTCGATCAATTTTGTGCCACCCGGTTACGAATGCATCCGTGCACGAGTCAGACTCATCAGAATTGAGCTGTTGGAATAAGCCTTCTACCTAGTAAGAACACTGCACTAATATGAAATCCACCAATCACAGTTCATATTTGGACACAAGGCTACTTTTATTAAATATAATTAAAAATCAGCGATTCTTGTGAAGAATCGATAAATAATAGACAAGATACTAGTCTGCATTTACAAAAAAAAAAATCATAAATTTTAATAAAACTTATAAAGTTAGTAGATATGTCGATAGAGCAGCGGGTAGCGTACTGAGCTGCCATGTGAAAGGTCCAGGGTTCAAATCTAGAATTGAAGACCAATAAAAAGATTTTTTTTTTATTTTATAAACTATTTTTAAATTAGTTATTTTATCTTAATAACCTAAATATATTTTTTTAAATTTGTAGATTTTTGTTATCGGGTTGAAAAAATATACTGTACAACTCTGACGATTGAGCACTCCGCCTACGGCGTCGTGCCCAAACTTCGTCTTCGTGAGATATGGTAATTATATATCCACTTGTGTTGCCCAAACTACTATTAAAAGCCCTTAATATTTTAACATAATAAAGTAATCGTTACATAATAGGTCGCATACTATGTCAAATTTATTTTACGACATATTGCAACTCCTCTGGAGTTGCCTGCAGTTCTACCTTCACCCAAATGTTGTAATAGAACGAAATTATATTTTCAGCGGATTGTTTTACAAAGCCAAACCTGTATTGAAGCTGCAACTAGTCAAGGACGATACTAATTTAAAGAGGCTGCTTTTTCCTACAAAACTATCGTGGAGTAAGGTAAGTAACTAAAAATGTTAAAAACTTGCAACATAACTATTATTATTTTAGGTGTCAGGGCATAATCATATAGCAGTAGGTTACAGTGATGGAACTGTAGCTCTCTATAATTTGAATACATCGTCAAAGCTATTAAGGTTTATAGATAAATCATCGGCAGACGTTTTGATGCCTTATAAGATCTTGAAAACTCACTCTCACTACATATCAGGTAAAAATCTGTTATACGAGTAAAGCATTTCTGATGAATAATACAGAATTTTATTTTGTAGCTATTTCTTTTATACCAATTGGTCAAGGTAATAGATGGTTACTGACGTCCTCTTTCGATAAAGCTGTTCATTTATGGGATTTATACACTGACGATAAGATTTCTCTTAAGAAAGGCAAATTGGCGTCCGATGTTGTTTGGTTAACGCAATGGTTAAGTTTTATAACTGGTGGTGATGAGTCAACTGCAGTTGGTAAGCATACTTGGAACAACAAAAAAAAATATGAACAAATATAAACGAATTCCTACATTTCTAAAGGTGAAAATATATATCTAAAGCTTTAATTTTTGTGGTTTTGTATATCGATACCCTATTTCTAAGAGGACGTATTGTAATGGATCAAAAAAACTGTTTATTTTATTATCAATATTAAATAGATATTCAGGGTACAACATATTAAATAAATTGTGAACAAACGTCATATCTTGCAAACGTATATGTTATAATGTGTTAAAATATGAAAACAATTATAATCAACCCAATAATAACAAAAACGCAATTTTAAGACAAAATATTTTCGTAATCCACTTATATGAACTCAACAAGATTTATATTTAAAAAAAATTTAGACGAAAAACAGTATATAGTTTTCCTTCAAATTAAAAAAAAAGAATTCAAAGAAAACACTCGCATGGAAATAGATGCATGGGCTGTTTTCGCATTTTTAGGTATTCCAAACTGCTCATATAAGTTATAGGGGCTAATGATAATCTTCCTTCAACTTGTTGAGATACCATTTCCTTGCACTCAAAGTAGAAGATAATGGCTATGATACGTGCTACAATAATTGTTAGCTTTTTAAAGAATTTATCTAATATAATTATTGGGGTTTGACAGACTTTGTGTTTTTCCTTCATTGTTGAATCTTTTTCATGCTACTTTGAGTCAATATTAATAATATTTTAATTTAAAATACTTATTATATACATCAATGCCTGAAGAATAAATATGTTTTTAAGTAGTTCCAATGATAATTTTTTAATTAAAAAACCGACTTCAAAATCGTGCAGATGCCCTTAAAAATTGAGATTTTTGATTTTCTCATAAATGGGTAGTTCCTGACCAATTGTATATGGAACTACCCCTGAGGTATCCCCTGTAGGAATTTTGACATATATATGACGACACATTTCTAATGAGCAACCCGGGTATCCCGTTTCGCAACATTCGCGCGTCACAATCATTTTGGGACTTAGGAATACGGTCGCTAGGCAAGTTGTTGTTTTTTGGGCAGAAGTCAACGGAAAAAGTCAGTTATTCTTATAATCTCATTTTTTTTACATTCAAACCCTGTGTTAGATAATACAAAATATAGTTTTAAAAGAATTGTTGTGTTCCTGTTCATGGTAAATTATAGGTATACAAAAGTTTGCAGTTTTTTTTATTGACGCAGCTAGTGTTAAATCAAAAGATACTAGCTTTGGCCAGTCTCAGAACTGGCACTCGTGATGAGGATGTAGCCAGCAGCATCATCCCCATTCATCCCCTTTATAACAAAAAAATAATCGTAGAAATCGGACAAGGTGGTAAAGAATTATAGCTAAACATACATAAAAATTAAGAGTTTGAGGATTTTCTCATGGACCCAATTATTAGATTTTGACCAAATTAATATGGGACAACCCCTGAAGTACCCCCTTTCTAATAAAAAAAATCATTAAAATCGGACACCGTGTTAAAGAATTATTGCTGAACATAAAAAGAAAAAAAATATCAGGACGAATTGAGAACCTCCTCCCTTTTTGAAGTCGGTTAAAAACAAATATAGTAACGCATAAATTCATTATTAGCTAAATAAAGCATTAGATATTAGAATATTAGAAATTCCCGTTTTTAACAAATTTGACAGAACACATAACAAATCAACAAGTACAAACGAACTGAACAGCTGTCGTTATCACTTCACCTTACTTCACTAGAGGGCGCCACAGAAGCAGGTTCATTTGTAGAGCACAAGAAATAGACGCTAGTCCTTTTCTAAAGCGTTAACAATACAGAATTGTACTTTAACGTTTCTGACAGTTTTTAACGTCAAATAAAAAAAATGGTAAAAAATACTGTCAAACAAAAATATTTTTATGGTTCAGGGGCTTGGATCACTAATAAAAGCTATTAGATATAATGTTAAAAATAATGCAGAGTGTTTTTAATAGTTTATTAAAGTAGTTGTATAACAATACGTAATTTCATTTAATGTGTTTATTACGTTTATTCTTTATTTATTATTTTGTAAGTAACTTGAAATTTTTTCATTTTTGCCCACCCTGTACCAATTTGAAGCAACGTATTATACATTTTTGGAATCAGCTCAGCAAGGGCAATCCGGAAATTGAAAAAAAAAAAAAATGGCGAGGACGTCATCGCACGAAGGCGGTTCACCCTGTATATTAGATTAAAATTTGAAAAAGTAGTAAATTAAAATCAAAAATCGACCTGTTTCGGGAATTTCTAATATTATTGTTTATTTATAATAACATAATGTATTTATACGTTACTTTATGGACGCACTGTATACAGGGTTGGGATAAAGTATGAAACCAAGTAAATATCTTTAAAACGAAAAGGACTATATTTATGAAACTTTGCAGGCAAGTACAATGACGCATAACGCAAATGATGCCATATTTTCTGTTACTGCTGTACTTCCGGCAATACCCTCAACTTTTTTAATTTAAAGGGGACACCCTGTATATTTTTGCAGATTTTAAAAGATTTTGTTATTCCGAATTCGTACAGTGTATTTCCGGTGAAACCGGGAGTACAGTAGTAACAAAAAATATGGCATCAGATGCGTTATGCGTCATTGTACTTGCCTGCAAAGTTTCATAAATAACGTCTTTTTCGTTTTAAAGATATTAACTTGGTTCCATACTTTATCCCAACCCTGTATACAGTGAGCATCATAAGTCTTACCCCCCCCGATCTAACTCGCTACTGGAGTCTTGTTAGAAAAATCGCCGAGGCAAGTCGATTTTTAATTTCTACAATGTACATTTTTATATAACTAGTTTACCCTTAATTTCATCCCTTTCAAAAAATTTAAATGGCATGGGGTGGTGAGTGATAGCTCATTTGAAAGGGGGTTTTGCACACTGCCGTTTTCATAAAATCTTTTCTCATTTAAATCACGTAGTCCAACCAGTAGAATACACTGGCTTGCACTCTCCTTAATATCAGTTTATTATTTTGACCATTTGTCCTCAAAACAATGCAAAAACATCAACAAAAACATGCATTTAATATCTAAGCATAATGGCAAAAAGTCTTACTTCACGTCTGAACCAAAACAGATATCATGCAGCGCCGAATTTTAATTCTAAGGATGAGTGCGCTATGTTAATTTTCGTTATTCTGAAACAATAATTAGTCGAGAATTAATGGAGCAAATTTCAATTCCTTTGCACGGTTGAATAAAGAATAAAACCCCCTTTCAAATGAGCTATCACTCACCATCCCATGCTATTTAAATTTTTCGAAAGGGTTGCTTGTAGAAATCAAAAATCGATGTGTCTTGGCGATTTTCCTAACAAGACTCCAGTAACTAGTTAAATAGGGGGGGGGGGGTAAGACTTATGATGCTCACTGTATATATTTAAGCATATTAATGATTTTTTCTAGTTTCCTGCTACTATAAGGTTTTCTTCGCCCCGGTGAAATCTACAATTCTATTATTATTCGTTTTAGGTCAGGCTGTCGCTGTAACCAACAGTCACCGGGAATATTTGTATGACGTGCACACCCTTTCCTATTCCTTATCGTCGTTTACGTCGATTTCTACGAGCGATTGGTTAAATGCGTTCGTACACGGCAACGAAAACGGTGAAATTGTCATATCTTTGCTTCATCAGATGCTGTACGAAATGGGAAGGTTAAGAAAATCCAACGATTATCGATATGTAAGTGTGTCCTTCAGTATAACTAAATAAAAAGCAGTAAAACGGTTTCGTATTCGTCTCCTGATGATATTGACGTGATATCTTACTGAGAATTTTCTTACACTACAACTTTATTTTATATTTATTTTTCATCACACATCACATTTTCGTATGTAACAAGATTGGCCACAATGTTAGAAGAACAAATAAGATTAGTGCCATAAAATTTTAGTTTATTGGTTTTTTTTTCACAGTATTAATATTATCGCCTTAAATATACTTTCCTCCACCGCTTCATTGGCAAAAGCAGTGCTGTTAACAATTTTTTGAAAACATTTTCATTGTCCCTGTCGCTTTTTCTGTCTCAAATCTGGTTATTTTGAGTGCTGATTTAATCTTAGGCAATAAAAACGTATCGATAGCCCAAATACTTAACCGTTTTTTTTTTTTTGTATCAACGTACCGATCTTTTCAATATTTGTGTCCGTTTTTGAAATGCAAGATCGTTTTTATAAACACTCCTCTTCGTATCCTTCTTTTAATGAAGCATATGGTTATGTGGCGAATTTTTCGAGTTTTATAAGGAATTTTAAATTGGCGCGTTACTCTCCTTGAACACGAAAATTCCATTTGACGCCTTCAGTTTGTAGTAGAGGGATCAGTCAGTGTCACACCTCGTAGTCTGCGTTAAGCTTTAATGGCATATTCCTTAACGCTTTCAATAACTTGCTTTCTTTTATATATTTATAATTATTATCGATTATGTGCCCTTTCATTTCAATAAGCTCTTGTTCTCTTCTCTGCAGTGTAACGTCATTAATGCAGAATATTAATTAATATATAAAAATATTGACTTTTAATCCCTTTCAATTCATGACAAGCAACACTTTCAAATGGCTCTCCTTTAAAAAATAAATGTGCCATTTGTATTATCATCAGAATAAATTTGATTATAACGCTTTTTAACGTCTTATTTTCTTCGAAATCTGATGAGCTTTGAAATATTGCGTCTAATTTTGTAAATTCGTCTATTTTAGATACTCGGGTATTCAAAATTGATCGACAAAACATTGTCGCCCGAAGAGAGGGCTACTGTCGAAGAAGAAAAAAAGAAAGTTTTAAAGGTTCTCCCGCGCCAACGTCGTAAATTGCAAGAAGCTTCAGACGGAAATTCCCATTATCATTGGTATGAACCTTATGAATACGAAGAAGCCACTGCAAAATACGGGTTGATGTTCTGTGATACTGTAAGTTATACTTTTACTACTTAAAGTATGTTGAATATCAACGTCGTAACAAACGTGGTGTAAATTTAATGATTTTTGTTTGACCTTTCATTTTTAGGCCGATCTGTACAAATTGAGTTCAACGTATCAAGATACTGAACCGGTTAAGTCTAATTTGTACCCCCTGATGGCCATCAACCAAGTCAGCTTCAATCCCAATCAACAAGCCAGTTTATTCTTCGCGACCGGCTATCAAATCGGATTCGTTAGAGTGTCTTATTTGAAATTTTTGGAAGATGATCGACAAATTCGAAAGTCAAAATCGTAATAGAATAAGCTTTAAACGTTACCGTTTATTCATAATTTAATTAAGAACAAAAAAATCATTAAGAACTTACCCTGTGATGCAAGAAGTCTTGGTCTAGGACACTAAGGTTCAAACGGCAAGGCGCTGTGGGCCATAGGGCATATTATATCACCTTTTAAAGGTGAAGGAGATATTGCATGCTCTTCAGAATTTATTGCAAATGAAGACACTGGTGCAAAAAGGGAGTAACTCCGATTTAATTAATTTTTTAGGAGAAGGTAATATCTATTTATATTTGAAAATATTTTGTTAACATTACGTTGTAGTTTACTTAAGAATACATATTAGGTCCAAATTTCACACTTTTAAATAATTTCGTTAAAGTACAGCATTTAAAAAAAGTTGAGGAGCTGCTTCCTTTTTGCACCGGAAAGTAATAGAATTGTGCCTAAATTAATACACTATTAAATAAAAAATCCTTAAATTTTACAGTTTAATGTAGATAAAAGCAACACAACTATGTAGCATACTTTTTATTATAGTCATTTTAAGCATAAAGTGTCTGCTCACTGGATATGCTCTTCTTTTTTTACATATACAATCAGCTAGGACGTATTTTGTTGCTAGTTCTTTTACATGCAGATATTTAGGGCGCTTGAGTGGTAAAGGGCCGGGTAGAGGTGTAAGTCTTAGGGCATTTTACGAAAACAGGTGCTGCTTCGAAGTGGCAAAAAGATGAATTGATTTGGTGCACAAACGAGGTAGCTCCAGAGTCGTCTCCGTTTTCCACTGAATTAAAGTAGGGGGACGACAATATATTCCGTATTACCTCGTTCTTGCACCAATCGATAGAGCATCTTTTTTTTATATCTTTCACTATAAAACGAATAATCCTATCAAAGTGGAGCTGCCTCCTTTTTGCACCAGTGTCTTCAAACGCTCTACGCATTATTTGCAAACTTTAGAGAAAAGAACTGTTATCTATAAATAGTCTTGATTATATTTTTCGTAGTTTACGTATTTATTTATTTATTAATATAGTTTGATACTGTTGTTTCCATCAACCAGTATCTTTTTTTTTTTCAAAGAGCATCTTTTAATTTTATATTTTATAAAGAAACGACAGAGCTCTACACTACATACCTGAGTTCCACCTTCTTTAATTTTTTTTTTTAATTGGATGTCTCAACACTTTTTAATTAGTTAATTTTACAATGTTTATCGGCTTATTTGGTTTTTATAATTTTGCCTGTGCTTTAAATAACTTTATTCAATATGAGTCGAATGGCTGTTTAAAAATCGATGGGCAAAATCAAATTTTGTTCGTAGCTACATTATGCTGTGTAAATATACCCGGTCTATAGTCGACCTTCTTGCCTAAATCCTGATATTCCTTAATTCTTTGTCTGTTTTGTATGATTTTCGCTAGATTTTATTTACAGAGTGTTCCTTAACGATATGCGATTATTTAAGGATGTGAATCTACATGAAAAATTAATAAGTTTTCTTTATAAATTATTGTCCAAAAATGTTCCGTTATGAATATACAAGGTGCTAAACTTTTAAGAAAAAAAGGAGAATTAATTTTTTCCTAACCGCTTGAGATATTTCAGCGATATTTAATTTTAAGTGACAGTTAATAGGTGCAAATTCTTCAATACAAAAATATTTTTCAGCTTTAACAGTGGTGTGCGTACAGACACTAGCCCGCCCCAACATTAAAAAAAAATACGCCATGGTTTTTCCCAAATAAAAATTATTTTTAAATACTTCGTTCAATTTTAAACTTAAAGAGTCTGCCGATTTGTTTTCCTACGTTGCCCCGTTTTTAAGTAAAAAAAAAATAAAAACTTGTATTGTCCGAAAAATTAATGTAATTATTAAAGAATAATAGGAAAAAAATGAACATGTGGAACATAGTTTATAAAGCAAACTATCACTAATTTTTCATGTAGATTTACACCCATAAATTTAGTATGGCAATCCCCTTTCCAGAACCAAAAGTATGAAAGAGATACTCCAGACATTTGCGAAGCCCTGACGAGCTCAAATTCCTTAAGAACAATCAGGACCTTCAACCAGTTGCCAAATTAAAAACTCTCATCGCTCACGCTAGTCATGCTCGGTGTGATTCTTTATTTTTTTTATTTTTTCTTTTGTAACTCGGTAAGCAGATGTTCCCTACGACTTTCCTCATACCACAGCTTGATGAAAATCGCTGCCTTTTTACTCACTCCACCTTGCCCTTTTGGGTCTTGTGTCATTACAGTAAATACATTTGCACCGTTAGCCTTTGAGAAATAAGGGAAGATTAAAATGACATACATCCCCTATGTATTATGGTTGTCCACTTTTCTGTTAATTGGACCAGGTGTGCTCATGTTTTTGGTATCAAATGCAATCATTTCAAAAAAACTATTGTTTCTTTATAATTCTTGAGTTCTATGCGAGTAAAACCATTTTATATAAGATTTGTTTTGTTTTACATATATATAAATAATGACGAAAAAATTGTACATATGTAGGTATTTATTTTTATGTTAAATATTAATATATTTTATATTTAAAATGAATGTAATATATTGTTTTAATAAATTATAGCAAACATTTAAAGATATTTAGTTTTGAAGAGGTTTTTCTCCATAGTGAAATTATTTTTACTTATTTTTGACGTCTTACAATCGGAAAACACTTGGACACCAATTTTGTTAACGTGAACCCTCCGATGCTACTTGCGAAAAGCCTATGGCAGCTTCAGATGGAAACAATGAAAAATTCCAGAGGTCGATGTTGTCTATCGGGTTTGAATAGGTATTGACACGACAAAGAATTTTCGCTCTCATGGTCTGAATAGGTATATCTGAGAAAGGCCGCAACAAGTTCACATGTCGAAATTAAAATGCAGGGTGATGCCGACTGATATTTGGATCAAATTTTTGAATTTGAATAATTAAATTAATTTTAAAATATAATGAAAAAACAGGTTAATTACAGTTTAATTGTCTTTTAAATTAAAGCCATTTATTTTAATGTAGTTCGATTGGTATGGTCTAAGAATGACCTTCCAGAATACCAAATTACCAATTGGGTTAGTTCCGACCGTATTATAATATTAAACAACTACTTCACTGTAGAATTCCCAGAAACTAATTTTTCGAGACTTTTAAATAACCATCTAAAGTGAAAGTCAAAATATTCGGTAACCTTAATTATTATAAACCAATTACTATTCTATAAAACATACAAAAAATAAACACATTTTTTAGCTAATCTTGCTTATAAATTTTGGCTTTCAACACGGCCTTATCTAAAATTTCGGTAAAAGTTCTTTGAGTCAAATCGCACAATTCGGCGCTTTCCTTCGACGCTATTTCCAAGCTCTTGCCCAAATGTGCGTCGAAATGCGAGGCCAGAGACGCTTGGGATTCACATATCCTCGCCAATTGCATGAGGAGGTTGATTATGTCTTCAGTTAGAGGTGGGAACGCTTCGCTAATTCGAACTAAAGCCGGCAGAACTGGATTGAAAAGTTTTATACGCTGAGTGCTAGATACACCTAAAATATATATTAACTGTTACATCGTCTTTAGTATTCTGTATGTAGATACTCACCACCCAGAAGTGCGTAAAGTAAATTTAGTGATAAGACGCACAAATTCAAACTTTTTGGTAGCGCATATTGCAAACTGATATGCGACAGAAGTTGAATGCCGAATATTTGTTTGTTTAAACTGGGCTGTTGCATCAATTCCTGCAAAAAATCCAAACAAATGTGCATAGAGGGCACGCCCTTGACTACTATTTCGATCAGTTCGCTTGGATAAGTCTGAAAACATAAATACTTGAGCATTCACGTGAATTGATTAATAGTTACTCCTAATCGGCAATAGGGCTCTGTTTCTACGCTTCCCGTATTCACCGACATCTCCCAACATACTAGCCACACACCACAGACAGAAATAATAAGTACTGTATATTAAAACTTACTTGAAAATGTACCAGTTTACACAGCATTGTATCGGCAATGAAAGCTTGATGAAGGTAACTGCACACTAAAGATCGAACTTCTTGTAACGACCATTGTCTACCGGGTATCGCTTTGTCAGCATCAGTTTCTGAACATGTTTCTATCAACATCTGAATGGCTGCAGATTCCTATAAATTAACGTTTTAATAATTAGAAATATGTGCTTATTTCTTATAAAATTGAATGCAATATTTACTTTCACAAAAATTATAATATGGACGGTACTGTGCAGAAAATATAAGAGTATCGATGTTTTGAATCTCACAGAAAAGATGAAGATACTAGCTCTAATTGTAAAAATGTAAAAAAAATTACATTATGTAAATGGATATATTGCTTCTCAAAAAAATCCTATTTTAAAATCTAAACAGTTCTGCACGAGATGAAAATCTGCAAAACTATGAGCAATGTACCTCTAAAACAAGTGATTTAAATGCTTCAACTGTCTCTACAGGCGATGAAATACGCTCGCCAAGAATTTTATTTTTGATTTGTAGGAATAAGAAGTCATTGGGCGATAAATCAGGCCAATATGGGCAATAAAAAATCAACGTACAAAATCACGATTCGAAAATTTTAATTTTTTAACATAATTTTTATTCAGGATATTTACAAATGTCGCTGTATTCCCACATCTAGCCTTCGTCTCAAGGTGTCTCTATTTTTCGACCATTTTTATCCATTGTCTCGTCTAGTCTTGCTTCTTTTCTTGTACTACATTCTTTCTTCCCTTATCTTTCTTTCTTAGTCTTCACACCTCCAAAATTAAATCTCTGCACTTTTTATTTACAACCAGTTTTAATAAAAAGTACTGGTAAAGCGCCTTATGATGTATAGGAAATTCAAATAGTTTTTAATTCTGGTGTTATAGATTTATACCACTAAATAAAACTACCATGTTGCTGTAAATTGTTTCAAGTAACCAAAGTTATATTTAAGACGAAAAAAAAAATAATTATAAGTATATTTTTATTTACAAGATTTTTTGTGTCTTAAAATATCAACTGGAGTCAACATTAAATTCTTTCCACAAACATCGCAGTGGTACATTCTAGAATTCGACTTTACAATAACTTCTTCTTCTTCATTTTCGTCTTTATTACCACTAGTTCCTTCTTCAGTTCTGCTACTGCAAAATGTTTCATGACGAATGTTTCCAAAAAGACTCGAACCTAAACAAGTTTTTTTACAATATTTACAAACGAATTCAGTATTTATCACTTCTTGTTCTATATTATACGCCCATTCTTCTTGTAGAAGACAGCCATATACAATATTTTCCGTGATATTGATGCCACCCATTTCGAGGTTCTTACTTATTCTATAATCTTCAGAAAATGGATTTTTAGTGTTTTGGGAAATTCTCTCTAAATCGAATATTTCACAATTATGCGAAAACACGTCTTTTAAATCCGCCGGCAATAATCTTTTAATGTTGTAGCTCACTTCTGTCGTCATATACTTTACAAGGTCTTCTGTAAAGTAGAATATTTCTCTTTGATCGGTTTTGGTACTGGTTGGATCTTTCAGTTTTGATTCTAATTTCATTTTCCACGTTTTTCTTATAGCAATGGCTTGTAGCAACAATGCTTTACCTAAAAAAAAAAATAAAAATCGGAGTCAAACTGTTTAAATTATTATTAAGAAAGATATATTATTTTAACATTTAGAAAGATTAAAAAAAATTCCACAAAAGAAACCTTTTATTTAAAAAAATGGCGAGTATTGTATATTACCTTGTCCAAAATATGGAACGTCAAACATCAAAAACCCGTCCACCACAAATTTCGTAAAAGTTTCATTAGTGGCAACCGTTTTTCCTAAAAGCAACAAAGTTTGTAATGCAGGCATCCTCATGGTGTTTACCAAATAGACTTTCTTTGTTTCCAGTATGGTTTGATATACCGAAATCTGATGTTTTCTGCTTATAGGCCTCCTGCTGAAATATCCGGCGGGCGGTACTTCAATATCATCGTTGTGCAGCTCCAAGACTTCGGGATTTGTAGCGAAATAGCTGTCTGGTCTTAGGAAAACGTAGTTTTTATGTTTGGTGTGATAAAGGCGTTCTAGTATTGTTTTGGATGAATTAAATTCGTCTTCAACGGCTATTTGCGGATATAGCCCGCTGGCCAAGATGATTTTTAGTGTCATAAGATCTTTATGACTATCTGCAGACGCTTCGTTAAGTAGTCGTTGAAGCCTACAAGAAAAAATAATAAAAACTTATTTTAACTAAATTTTATTACTCTTACCTTTTAAAATCATTAGATATTCTAAATTCAACATCGCGAATATCAACCCTCTCACTATCCTGATCCGCATCTCCATGGTTATACATTTCATATTTTAACTGTTTTCTATTCTTGTTTTTATCGTCGTTTTTAAAACGATATCGCATCGATTTTAATTGTTTTAATTCGCCCAATCTAATAGACCGCTCACCGCTGCTTAAGTCGGTTTCAGTAATTTTCGGTAACAAATCCGCTTCTTGTAATATTTCTCGAAATTGTTCAATTAGTTTGGTCGCCTCGTAGAATCTTTGTTCTTCAAGACACCTATAAAACAATTTTACAGGTAAATTTAATCATTTAAGTATAATTTATAACCATCGTAACATAACTTAACACCGTAGAAACTTAACGTAAAATATAAAAATAAAGTCTATTTATAAATGTCCGTAACGTAAGAGTTGAGCATACTGTTGTATTTCAGAGATTATCAAATTACTGACAACCTTATGAAATAAACAAGTGTAAACTATGTACCTAACCTCCAAATAAAACTTATAAATTATGATTTTGCTATATAGAAAGAATATATTAACTACTTTAAAAGCAATAATATAATAAAACAGAATAGTTTACCGAAGATGTTGATTGTTTTTGAGCAATAATGAGAATTTAATCTTTCCTAGCAAACTAGTTTTGTGTCTTATTTCAGTTCTAGACTTGATGTTTATAGGTATATGCATCAACAATCATATCTCATAAATAATTTATCCCCAATAACATAAACACAAATCATTCATGTATGTCCATAAAAAAAATGGCATTTGTCCATTCATTCGACTTAATTTTCAGAATAATACTATAAAGGGTGGAAATAGTAATAGGTCTAAAATGAAAACTAATATTAGGTATTATCTATAGAAATAATACAACAAAAATATTAGTTTTCATTTTAGACCTACAACTATGTCCACGCTTTATAGTATTATTCTGAATATTAAGTCGAATGCCGGAGGAATAGATATGTATTTACTGCATATCATAAATTTATACCTGGAACAAGGTTATTTCCCACGATCTTGGAAACAAGCAATAGTTATTCATTTGCCAAAGAAATGTAACCCAACCTCATTTAATGAACTACGGCCTATAAGACTTCTTCCATTAATATCAAAAATATTCGAACGTGCTGCCTATATTCAAGTCTATGAATACCTTACAAAGAATAGTATAATTCCACTTCACCAATCTGGCTTTCAGAAGGGGTTTAGCAATACAACAGCTTTGGCTTATCTAAAAAGTTAAAAATAATTTTTCAAATAAGCTTAAAACAATAGTAAATGAAAAATACTAGTATTATTGTGAAAAAAGCGTCGGGCGCTCGATATATGGACAAAGCGCCCCACGCTTTTTTCACAATAAAACTAGTATTTTTCATTTACTATTGTTTTAAGCTTATTTGAAAAATTATTTTTAACTTTTTAGTTTGATATGCTCTATAATGCTCTATAGTTTTTTTTTAACTATATTTATTTTTTACTTTTTATTTCGAATAATTTATTAAAAAAAATGGCTGAAAAAGAAATTATTTTTTTTTCAGCCGTGGGGATTAGAACCCACGATCGGTGAGTCTGGCAATCGCGCCTTAGACCGCTCGGTCAACGAACGAACTTGAGTTAGTGGGATATACTGCCAGTAATAAGCCACTTGATTTTAGTCCAAAGGAGAGTTACAAACATACATACATACATACATAAAGGTGAAGCTAATATAAGCGTGTTAAAAAACTTAGGACTTTACTTTGATGAATCTATGAGATTTGATGAACATGTAAACTATATCTTACAGTAATGCTATGGTGCGCTTCGATTGCTTTATTCCAACAAACACATTCTTCGTGACAAATCCATTAAATCTAATTTATGTCGAAGCTTAGTTTTATCTAAAATACTATAAGGTATCACTGTGTACTATCCTTGCTTAACTTTAATAAATCGAAGTCGGCTCCAAATTATGCAAAATACATGTAGGTTCGTAAATGATCTAAGAAAATTCGACCATATTTCTCTGGCATTTTCACAAAGTGGTTGAATGTTGGAAACCTAATTAAATATCTCTTTCTTTCACAGCTATATAAGATAATCAACACTTTACAACCACCATATCTTACTAACAAATTAATTTATCGAACATCAATGCATAACGTAAATATAAGAAATAACCTAACAGCAATGCCTCGCCACTCAACAGGTACTTTCGCACGAAGCCTTTCATATCTATTTCTCTTCTTTCATTTAAAAAAAAAGAGCTCTGATTTCTCAATCATAAAATAATGTTATATATATTTTTCTTTTTTGTTTTATAATTTTATTTCTGCTTTCTTTTTGTTTTTATTTTGTAAACTATTATGATATTAAGTATCGTTTTTGTTAATTCAATATATTTTATTTTCTATTTTTATTAATATAAATCCTGTATTGCGGTTAGATGTAAGAATAGCCTCGGCTAATCTCGCCGAAATGAAATGTACACTTTAATTTTGTACAAATAAAGGCTTTTTATTATTTATAAAAAAAATGACAGTTATCACATGCTGAACTCAGAAGTATCTAATTGGCCGACCGTAAGGTCTTAAGTTGTTAAGTTAAAAGTTGGCGAACTTTCTATGGTATGTTAAGTTCTTAAGCTACGTTACGAACATTTATAAACAAGTATTCGTAAATTCAATATTTCAACTTCTTACGTTCAGTTCTTAAGTTACGTTACGGCGGTTATAAATTAAGCTTTAGAATCAAGCACGTGTTATTTACCTTTTTCTAGCCCAAACTTTAGAACTCATACCGCTATCTCTTTTGGATCGACTCTTTGCAACTGTAGACGTTTGTTTGACGCTTAACCACTCTTTATAGAAATTCAGTAACGATAAGGGATCACCGTGGTCAGATTCCATGGGTTTTCTGAGATCCCTAGCTTCTGAATTGCGTTGCGCTTGTTGTGTCAAAGGACTCTGGATGCTCAAAAGCGATGCAGAGGCTAATACTGAATTTACGTTACCAAATACTGTCGACATGATTAGCATTTTACCTATAAAAAAATGTAGTGCCTTAGATAGACCATACTTTGTTATCTCTTAATATTATTACCTATACTCTTTTTGGGAATTAGGATTTTAAATTTCAAAAAGTTTGTGATTTCAGAACTTTCGGCCCTAAATTATATGGACTTATTTAGTGAGTCATATTAAATATTTTTCCTTATTTAATAATATAAAAAAAAAATTATAAACACCTTTACACGCGTGTTTATAGTATCAAAAAATGAATGATTATTAATTTTTATTTTTTTTTATTAATTTTTACCTATTTTTATTTATTTTAATTTTTTATTTATTTATTTTTACGATACTCCTTATTTCCACCCTTCCTTAAAATGTGAAAATCCAAAACTTTGAAATACGTAATTATTTACTTATGATGAGTAGCTACAATTCCAATTTTCAAGTTCAAAAAATCAATAAACTTTCGCCCCCTTTCTCCCCTTAAAATATCAAAATCTCTGTGCCAAATTTCATCCATCCATCCAAACTTTCGTATTAATATAGTAGTAGGACGATCTTATTTTTTCCTTTATTATTTTTAAAACATTTTATACATATTATTTATTAATTTATCAGAATTTACAATTATAAATTTATATTTCTTTTTTTTTAAATATAGAACAAAATTATTATGTTTAATTACCTAACATGAATTTTAATTATTATTAGGCTGTTATTGAAAATTGGTTTTACTATTGACCAGTGATGTTTAAAAAACTAATTCTTAAAAAGAATCCAGAAAAGAAATTGTATTAACACAAAAGTGACATCCAAGTAACTTATTATTATTACCTATTGTCAAATCAACCGGCAACTGGCTTAAACAATCTCCTAGCTGCGTTAAGGCCAACAAATCATTATCCAATTCCAAAGCTCCTATGAATTTCAATTTTTCCATACTTTCCTCCAAACTTTTGGTGGCCGGTTTTTCAACAAATGGAAAATTGGCGATATCGTTGAGCCCCAATGAAATCATGTGCAACAGTAAAGAATCTAAAGGGACTTGGTGGATTTCCGCCGGAGTGAAAGGTTCAAAACTTTTAAGATCGTCTTCCGAGTATAATCGGAAACAGGTACCCGGACCCGTACGACCAGCTCTACCTTTTTAAAGGAAAAAATCGTTAATTTATAAAAAAAAATGCTATTCTAATTGTTTTAATAGCTTATGATTTAATAAATATATTTTCATAGCATTGTGAAACAGGAATTTTGATTTATAATAATAATAGTATATTATGCAACGATCATGTAATGATGGTTATTAATACACGAGCATTAACCGGGATACGAAACGAGCCAAAGGCGAGTTTCGTATGGTTTATGCGAGTGTATTAATAACCATTACATGAGAGTTGCATACGCTATTTTTTCTACACCCGATAAATAATCAAGAACTATAAATATTATATTCATATTGGTATTGAACACAATAACAATAATTACTCGTGTATTTCTATAAAAAATTCTACAAAATTGTAATTAATGGTATTACTTCGGGTATTGGTATTTCCCTAAATTTTTGCGGCAAAATATTTTGTACTGTATTTTCTGCTTTCTCCGATATGTGTGGAGGAGTCTTCTATATCGCTGATATCAGACATTTTAATATTATAATTAACGAAGTTTAGTTATCTACCAAAATTTAATACGTTTTGACAACTAAAACAAATACATAGGAACCTAGGACAAACGTCAAACAGCATGCTTGATTGAAAAATTGTAGGTTTCTATTGATTAAAAATCTGTATCGTAATGAAAAATCTGTATCGTAATGAAAAATCTGTATCGTAATGAAAAATCTGTATCGTAATGAAAAATCTGTATCATAATGGGTATCATTATGAAACGGATTATGGGCATATAAGTGCATTATTATAATACGGGTGTAGAAAAATGTCTTTATTTTGATAATCCTCTGAGGAATCCAGTATAGTTGTTACACTCATACAAACATATTAATAGAAATGTTATATATGAAATTAGACAATTCAACATCCTGCCAAAAAACAACATGGTCGCACACATAGTTTGTTGTTAATTTCTAATTTCCTTGTTCTTTTTTATAATATTTTTGTTAATCCTTTCATATTTCAACTGTTTTAACTAAATAAATTTGTGTTGTATACCTTTTAAATATTGACTATTATGTACACCTCATAGTTTGGACTGTCGACAGTTATTTGTTTTATTTGATGACATTGGAAATACAGTACAAGAAGCAATAAGGCAAAATGGTGTGTTATTTAAAGAAAATGCATTGCATTTGACTGATTTTAAGTTTTAGTGAAGTATTTTTAACATGTCAGTGATTTGCATGGTTGTAAATTGGAGCAGCAGAGGTGATAGAGAGATTTGTCTCTTTTTTTGCCATTCCAATGGCAATCAAATTTGTACATGCAACCCATTTAAACGATTTATCAACTGAAATGAGACAACGATGATTACACTCCCTTAAACTAGGTGATTTGATGGCTAGCAAAATCTCAAATACAAAAGTGTTGAAAGCAAGTAACTAAAATAATTTGGTTGCTTTTTTTCATTGTTAAATGGCACTTGCATGAAATCACATGGCCAAAGCTTAGTTAATAATAATTAAACATTAAGGGCGGGTTGTACAAAGAATGCTGTAACTCAATTGAGCTAACAGAAGTTTACTTTTTAACTGGTTATATTCAGTCATGTTTAAAACTATGTTTAACAATAATGATGATTGTACAAGGAGGTTCACCGTTTAAACTAAGATTACATTTTAACTGCCTATTGTATAACATTCTTGATTTGGTATTTAAATTGACCTGTTTTTTATTTTTCAGGGTATATATTTTTTTATTTTTACATAGGACACATACGACAACTTAGGAAACAATTTTTTTCCACAGCGCCTCAATTCTCGACTTTTTTCTCATGGAAAAAAGATAAATTTCATATGGGAATTTATATTTTGTATTCTCGACACATCCACTAGGAATATTTTTTCATGAAAATACACTTGGTATTTGGCATGGGAATATTGGTAATGTGCCTGTCATTTCAAATGGGCAGCCATTTTGTTTGGAACGCCTAATACCTTGTAGATGTTTCCAAACAACATTTGCTAACTCTGCAGCATAGTAGTCACTTTGTTTAAAGTCCAGTTTAAATCTGTGAGTTCAATAAAAATGGCCAATGTCAAAAATGATACTTTTATATAATTATGTTAATGAATTAGTTGTGTAGAGGTTTACAGGTCAATGTACATAACTATCAAAATTCATATATAGGTCTCATTTTTTTTTTAATAAATACAATTTAAGTAACAACACAAAAGTATCGATTTTCATATTGGACATACTTGAACTCATCCACAAAAACAAGTCATTACAGTCACTATATATCTTATAAAATCAACATGTCTACTCAACTTTGTTATTAAAAACTTTCATGAAAATAAATCAATTGATTACCAATCAATGCTATTTTGTTGTTTGTCTGCCTACAGTTCACAAATTTACTTGTCAAACGGTCACATGATTAAGAATGTCTAATTACATAATTATATAAATTAAAAAAAAATAGAAATAAAATATTTTCTTTTATTAACCTGATCTCTGTTTTGCACTGTCTTGAGATATGCTACATTCACTCAATTTATTCACACCAACATTTGTATTGTAACTCATTCTGTTAACTTTTCCAGAATCAACTACAAATCTAATTCCATCAATTGTCACTGAGGTTTCTGCAATATTGGTGGAAATTATGCATTTTCTGACACCTTCTGGAGGATAATCAAATACCTGAAAATTGTTTGACACAAATTAAAATATGTCTTCGGATTTGTTTATATTTACCTTGTCTTGTTCTTCCAAAGATAATGAACTGTGTAAAGGCAAAACAATCCAATTCTTCTTAATCTGACTATACTCAGTTACTGCATCAGCTAAGGTTGATATTTCAGAAAACCCATTAAGAAATATTAACATATCACCTTTCTGATTGGCTTGATATTTCTCATCTATCATTTGTAAAATTTGCAAATAAGGAGTACAGTCTAGTTTCTCTCGTTTTCTTTCATAGGGATCTTTGATAATTGGTCTGTATTGAATATCAATAGGATACAATCTTCCAGGAACTTTTATTACCTGTATTTGCTCATCATCAAAATAATTAGAAAATAGTTCAAGATTTATAGTTGCAGACATGAGAATCAGCTTGAAATTATCCCGTTGATGTAACAGGCATTTCATAATTCCTAAACAAATCAACAAACAAAAATATAGTACAGTTTTTATTTTACATGAGTGCTTATGAAAAGACAGATACAAGTCAATACAATATTTTAAATTCTAATATAAAATTCAAAAATAAAATGATGTACCTACAATATAAAACATTATGCTTACCTATTAAAAAATCACCATGTAAATTCCTTTCATGCACTTCATCCAAAATAATTACATCATATGATTCAAGAGTTTCTTTTTCAGAAGCTTGCCTTAAAAGCAAACCTTCAGTCAAGAATATGATATTAGTATCAGCCCTTTTTGTTTTTTCAAATCTAATTTGGTACCCTACTGTATTTTTGTATTCAGTTAGTGTTTCATATGCCACTCTTTTGGCTAAACTTATGCAGGCTATTCTCCTCGGTTGTGTACATGCTATTTTATTGTAACCAGCTTCTAAAATGTACTGAGGAACTTGTGTAGACTTACCACAACCTGTATCACCAGCGATTAACAAAACTCTTGATTGACTAAGTTTTTCTATAATTTCTGCTTTGTGTTGTGCAATTGGTAAATCATTTTGAAACAGTTTCAACTTGTGGAGTTTGGCAAAATTGCTTTTTTGTTGAAAATCTTGATACACTCTAATGACTAATAATAAGTCCTTAAAATCCTCCTTTGAAATATCAAGACGGTTTCCTCTTCTATCTAGAACGGGAAGTTTATCATATAAAAATGATAAATCTTCCATAAAAACTAGATTTAACAGTTTGTGTTTATCTACATCAGATTTTTGTAAACTTTGTAGCGATTTGTATTTTTCGTAGAATCTCCAGAAATCGCTGGTATTGTTGATACTAGACTGCTCTTCCAAAAATCTTCCTAGTTCATGTTTGTAGGCAGTTATTGGTTTTTTCTGTTTTTGTTCTGGTGATTTGGATCTTTTTCGTTTCCGATCTAATGACCTTGACCTCATTCGCTTATGCCTGCTCCTCATTCTTTCGTGATAATCCATTTTAATAACACTACTTATTATTTAAAGCTAGTAAAAATGTTTTTTAAAATCTTTTGACCTATCAACAATAATAAAACGTTTAGGTTATGTTCCAATGTCCTGTCAAAGAAGATTCTGGCTATAAACCCAACGGATGTGAACGTATTTTATTTTAATCGGCCTGTTGTTATTGTAGAGAAATCTTTAGATAACATATTTAAAATTCATGTTCTGCATTATTTATAAGCTTCATAATTTAATATAAACAAAGGTTATTGCATATTAGGCATTCCAACGACCTGTCAAACAATAGGTGCCAGTGGGAAATTCTTGTATATTTAAGGGGGGTAGCGACATAGTCTTGCAACTTGGACGCTATTTTTATTCGAAGTAGTACTCGCCAAGCCTGCCAATTTATGAAGAAATGTATAGGTGGGTTTTTTAAATATTATTTTTATTGTGTTTGACATAAAATATTTAAGTGTAATCCATTATTCATGATTTTACGTAAAGTAGATAGAATACACCGTATGTCGCTACCCTTAGATATACCAAACCTTCCCACTGGCAATTCATTTGTTTGGAATGCCTAATAGTCAAGTGTTTTATTTCCAGACTTTTGTCACGTTAGACACAATTTTATTCTCCTTTTTTTTCCTACATAATCAATTGCATCTACTATAATTAACTAAATAACACAATTGGAAAAGTCCATAGAAATAACGCACAGGTCCGGCTTAAAACAGGACGATATAAACTACAAAAAAAAATATCGCGACGAATTGAGAACTTCCTCCTTTTTTGAAGTCGGTTAAAAATGTAATCTTTAAACAGCGTTGTGAAAGTAAATATTGCGAATTAAAAAATTGTTCAACACAAAATCCTTTAAATTTCATTCTTTGCTTAAAAACAATATTACATACCTGAGCTGCTATACACGCCCTGCACATATCTTCCCTATCACTTTCATTTAAAACTTGACCAGACAGGTCCAATCTCAGATTTGATTGTAAATGTTGCATTAGCTGACTCCTAGACGACGCTAAACTCGCTCTAAGAACTCTCAAAACGACCGCATACATTGGAGCGCACCGAAAAACTCTTTTATCGCATCTCATTATCTAGAATTATCAATAATTACTGATCAATAAAATTATAAGGAAAAAGGCGAAATAACGTACCTGCAACGGATCTTCTGCCACATCGATTATGGTCAAATTCGAGAAATCATCAACAAGATTCTTCACCGTCAACACCCACAACCGTCGCGGCAACACTGTATTCAGCCTAAACCAAACGTCCTTGTACAAGTCTTGCAAATACCTCGGAACATTGTCGTCCAAAAAGTTTCTGGCGTGTTGAGCAAAAATCTCGACAAACGGCCAAATATCGATCGCCTCTTGTTTCAAAAGGTTTTGTAAGAGTTTCGCACACTTCATGGGGTTATTTTCTATGTCGCTGAAGGCGTCTATGACTGACATTTCAGATATGTGGGCCGGTTTATATTCCGTATGAATGGCCATATCATCTAACCAATCTTCCACCAAAGTTAAGTGAGGAAAATGAGTAGCTAGTAGCTTTAAAAGTGGTCCAAACAGGCCTGAAATAAATATTGATATCTGAAATCATTCTATAATACTCATTTGTTTCTACACAAAACACGTTACCATGAAAGCCTGTGTATTACTATAACAATACTATTCATTGTCATGGTTTTGTTGTTTAGAAAAAATGTTATGCTCCATTATTTTTATAATGCGGTTTTAACAAAACCGAATCATATAAATTATTGATAAACAAAATGTAGATGTTTTTCAGAATGAGAATTACCCGAATAAGACATTTGATCCTTCTGGGCATGGTGCAATAGATATTTGATTGGTAATTCAGACATGAACTCTGGAGTATAATTCTTTATTTTTCTACCACTTGCAGCTAGAAGATGTGAATTATTTAGGCGACAATCTTCGTATAACAATAAATAATACAGCAAGAGCAGTTGAGGTGTTAAACTCGTGTTATCCACAAAGACGTCTTGATACTCAGAGCTCAGATCGAAATCCATGTTGAATATTGATTGTTTTTGGTCGAAATATTGACCAAATATTGAACTCTGAAATACCTAAAAAAAGACATATTTATTCTGTTAAAAAAATATAAAATAATTTTTTTACTTTTCGAATTTCATTCTCAGTTAGCGGCTTATTCGTGTGTTCCGCGTTTTTGGCACTCGGAAGAATAATACTGTTGACATAAACTTCTACTAGCATCCTTAAAACAGGATGCAAAGGACTGACACTGGTACAAATTTGCTTGTATATCCATTTTTTAATGTTAACGTTATGCTTCGCGAATGCCCTAGATTTTAAAAGTTGATGAATGCAGTGAATTGGTAAAAATCCTAAAAATATATAACACAAATATTATTCGAAACTATACAGTTGTCAAAATTCTTGAAAGAAACTTTACCTGTCATATTGGCATTTAGCGAATTAGTGACCGGCACTTTAACAGCATGCGCAGTTACAACTTGTTCAGTAAATATCTCTTGCGTAAAGACCTGCTTCATTCTGGTCATATTATTATGTCTTATGGCGATTTTCATGCCGAGAGTGGCGCACACCAAGTCACAGATGGCGCTAAGTTGATTGCTGTGAAAATGGATAGCCATCAAGAGTAACATTTCCCCAAATGAGGCCGTTACACCACTCGCCGATTCGAAGTAGGCCTCTTCTTTGACCAGCCATTGTACCTAAACACATTTTATTTTCATTTTAAGTGCTACTAATTGACACAAAAATGCGAACTCACCCATTCGATACTCCTCCTCTCATGTTCTGGCAAAGATATTAGAGAAGGACAAGCAATGAGCATGCATAACCCAATAGAAACAAATCGAACACCAGCTGGCGTTGGATTAGGATGAGATGTTAATAGTTGGACAATAAAATTGACCTCATCATCTTGAAATCTAAACAAAAACTGTCTTGTTAGAACTGTCAATATTGTGACCATTGAGAAACTTTATGCCTTACTAAACCTACTTTATTGCAGCTATTCCTCTTAAAGCACAGTAAAGCCGTAGTAGGGCTGAAGCTTGCACTACCATACTGTCTGGTAATTCTCCCTCTGATGAAGCATCAATAATTTTTTGTAAACGCCTCAATAATTCATCTCGCAATTGCTGGAGGGCGTTACTAGACACTTCTCCTTTTCTTTTCTGTCCAGTTCTTATGAACAGTGCAATCCAGTTTCTAGAAAAGAGTATGATTGGAGATGGTGATGCAATAAGTAAAAGTAAGACAACTTGAATTATATAATGGCAGCAAATTTCAATGTATAGAGTCTGCCGAACGTTTATAAAGCTAGAGAAAACATCAGTTATTTCATAAATCGAAATCTCACCTAATTGCTTGGTCATTCCCCAACAACAGCCCAGATATAAATGCAACCATATCACCATCAATGTCATCCGAAAATATTTTATTATTATGTTCTAACGACAAAGTTATAGCTAAAGCGGGCATCCTACACAATTCCACACATTTGCTTCTTATAGACAAAGCATGAGAAGGGTTCATTTTACAAATTAAAGATATGGAATTGGTTCTGACTAAACTGGAAATATTTTCTTCTTGCTTTTCTCCAGTTTGTATGAGATATGTAGTAACTGAAAAACGTGTATTTAAAATAATTATAGAATTTTAGCTGCCACTCCTCGTTTCAAAACATACAATGTGTTCCAGAAAATTTTAGAAGCCACTTCAAATTTTAGAATTGAAAGAGTCTTTGTTTTTGTTTTATGACACCTCTCTGAGATATTTTGTCAAATATAAGATATGTTGAAAATATTTCTAACAATAATTTACACCATCTATTAAACTCTTAAACCTTTTTTAAGTTTCATTTTTAAACAAGACATAATTTTAACTTTTTAAGAGCGTTATCCAGTACGCTTCAAAAACGATGTTGTACTTAAACTAGATGATTTAAGGGACAGCAAAATCAAATATGAAAGAGTTGCAAGCATGTAAAGTGAATTAAAATAATTTTGTTGCCTTATTTATTCATAATTGTGTATTTTATGAATACAAGTTACTTTGCAGGATGTAATATGGACAAGGAACAATGAAAATTGCTCATGAATTCATGTACAGCAAATAATTATAAATAAAAAAATTAAATCAAATTCATGATTTTGAAAACATAATTATACCAATTAGCATGTTAATTAATGATGTAAATATCATTTTTTGTGACAAAATTGTAGTTGTATGTTGTGCATTAATAATCCTTTCAACACCATTATAAATTGTTTAGAAACATGTTCTGTATGTTCTGTTGGTCTTATTCCTTTGAAAAGGTTCTTAGTTGTAAATAAAAGCACTGTTTTCAACCATCTATTCAATACTAAATTATGTATTTATTTGTTTATAAACTGTTTAACAGGTTTTAACCCATTTAAAGAGCAGGAGTACATTCGAGGAAAAACATGGTTAACAAAAAACATATATAACAAACTTAAACTACAGTAACTAAATATTAAATTAATTTAAACAATGTGTTATGTATTTAACACTGCAGTTAAATATATCCAACTGTTCAAGGTGAAAACTTCAAAACACTTGTTTGAGGAGTTGTGGTGTAAAATGATTCAGCGTTTCAAGAGGTTATACAAGTTTTAAAGATACATTAGTCAAAAGTAGGAGTGTGCGAATAGCGTAAATTCGAATTATTCGCACACCCATAGTCAAAAGGTGAGTACGAAAAGTACAAACTTTTAACACTTTTTGCTGTGACTTTTTTTCAACTAGCATTCTGTCTTCAAGCATATAAAGAACGCTAGTTAAAAGACACGTCAGAGCAAAAAGTGTGTACTTTCCGTAGTCGCCATAAATACTCATCTTTTGAGGTGTAAGAATCCAGACTCAGACTCTTTTACTTTTTCATTATACCTTGTAGGTGCTTCCAAACAACTCTTTGTTAACTCTATAGCATAGTCTCTTAGTTTAAAGTCCATTTCAGGCGTTTAATATCAAATGTAGCAAAGTCCACTTTTATAAATTTTCCACTACACAACAAAACGATTTAAAAAATATTAGGACTATACATAAAATTACTGTTTTGGCTTTTAAGTGTGTAAATAAATTATTTTATGTAAATTGCAGCCAAAATTGCCGTAGGATTTTGAATAATATTTTAAATTGGCTATATATATATTGGAGTTTGCTGTATTTGATATTTAAGGTTGGAGTTTGCTATAAATGATTTGTTCATGAAAGGAGATTGCTGTTTATGATAGTAAACTGGGGTGAGAAAATATCCAGAACTGTATTGAATACAAACACAGTTCTGCTCACTAATTAATACTGTAATTAACAGAAACCAAAACAAATGTTTTTCATATTGTCAATAAAAATGTGTCCATGGGTGCTGACCAAAAAACTGCTGGGAGGCTAGTCTTATAGGCAAATTCATATTGCCGCAGGCTACAGACGAAAGCCATAGCGAAAAATCCAAATATCGGAAATCTAGTGCGCTTGCCCTCGTGTGAGGGCGCGCCTATGAATGTGTCCCTTAAAGTTGACCACAAATGAGAAACTTTTTTATTATTAGTGCAAGAAAGAAACTAAAATAACAACGTTGCCAGTAAACTACCGCCTGGCTACGTGGGGATAACTCGAGTATGCACCGTTGACCGTCTGTGTGTATTGTACTATCTGTCTGCGCTATGTGCTGTGTGATGTGAATTAAGAATAAGCACACAACGACAGATATACCCACAATCCCAACGCAGCCGGGCCGTTGGCAACGTTCATATTATTCGTTTTCTTCTCGAACCAATGCGAAGTCTCCTTAGTTTTCACTTCGACACTAGCAAACCGTATTAGAGGGGTTTCAATAGCCGATACTGTATATGAATAAATAAATAAATATATTTTCAGAGTTGCGCGAAATTCCGGAATAAAATTAATAACTGTCCAACCAGTAACTTAAAAAAAAAACGCTGAAATACGTGAATTAATTTTACATTGGACGTATTTGTTGCCAATAAAATGAAACTTTTTCTTCTTTTCTTCAACCCCTTAGCTGCAACCCTACCCAACTTTTTTTCAAATGCAAAGGTATGTCGTGTGTAGGTCATTGAAAAGCTCGTGAAAATGGAATATCACCATACTCTATTTTTTCTTTTACTCATGTGGTTATTGGGAAATGAGAAAAAATTCTTTTAAAAACAAAAAGTTACAAATATGGTATAGTGAAATTCCATTTTCCCCTACAGACAACATATTTTTACATTTGAATGTACTTAATGTAGGAATTTATGTTTTTCTTATTGTTAATATAGATTTAATAATTGCAGTCCTGGAAAAAAAGTTGCTCATTTCAATCATTTCGCCTTACATGCTTTCCAATTTTTGGCATTTCTAACACACTTTCTTGCATGTTTTTTATCTACAGGAGGATAAGAGATCTCCATTTTATGAATTTTCACTAAACAATTCTTATTATTTTGTTATTATATACTAAAAAACAGTAATTAACTATGCACGTGTTGTTACAAACCGACTACAGCTACCATACTTGTTTAACTACTTGCTATTGGCAGAAAGTGACTTTGCTACTTTTGTTATATTTAATCTGGAGATTACTGTTTTGATACAAACTTACAACTTTGCTGAATGGTTTTAACAGTATATTTCTGCTTTTGTTACAAAATAAGATTGATATTTTAATAAACAAATATTCAAAACTGGTACAACACAAAAAGTTTCAATCGGAAAATTTGAAGTTTGCTGCTTTTGATATTAGACCCCTGATTTTAAATCAACAAGTTTAATAAAAATTGCCAATGTCAAAAAGTGATATTTTTGTAAATATGTTTATGAATTGGTTGTTTGAAGTGAAACAGGCCAATGGCCATACCTTTGAATCCTTTATTATAATCTTAAAAACTACCAAAACCAAAAAGAGCTTATTAAGTATTTGGACATACTTGAATTTGCCAACAAAAACTTCACTAGTTGTAAAAAAAGCCTACTATTAAAAACCATATATATTACCAAATTTCAAGCAACTATTTTAATTGTCAAAAAGTAACATTATTTGGAATACCTAATTGCTATGAGGTATCTGTACTATTTTAATATTGATAGAGAGTATAAATAAATATAGCAGGGGCAGAAGTTGCAAAGGCTTTTGGTAGGTAGAGAGGGGGTAAACATCAATCCATGTCGGACGATTTTGCAGTAATTTTTACTTGCCAGTGTCGTTTTATAGAATAATTAATTTTAAATTATTACTAGCGGAACCGGACAATCATATTTATTTATGGACCAGAAATAATTATTAAACAAGTATTATAATATCCAAATCATAATTCTACAAAATTTCAACAGCTATTCACAATTTATTAAACTATTTACCTGAAATTGTTATTAACACCTATAAAATAATTTTGCACCCCAATGTATCCTGTCCACTTCGGTTAGGTTAGCTCTGCTGCAAAACTGTCAATTTATGTGTATAAAGTGGGGGAACTGCGAAAAGCCTTTCCAACTTCTGCCCCTACTATAATGATTAGGTATTTACAGCATGGTGTTAACTTAGATATTTATTTATAAGAAACCAGAAATCTCACTCAAAGGAAGTTTACTGAGGCTTCTCAATAGAAAAAAATGTCAATATATACTAACCTTCCCTAAAAGAATCTGGAAAATTTGCTACAATTCTACAAATAATGGCTGGACCATTATGCACATGTAATAATGTTTCAACAATTGTGCATATATTTAAAGTTGTAGGTAACTCTGCAAGAGCAATGCATATGATATCAGATAGTTCTTCAGCAAATATGTCATTGTCAAAGAGCTCTGAAGATTTTATGTAAGATTCATGTTCACTGGTAGATTCAATCCCATCCTGAATTTGTGATTGTATAAATAACAATTCTCCTAAGAGAATGCTTAATCTACGAGTCATGTCACTTCTTTCATATTCCAGTGCCATACTGGTGTTAGATAGATTTCCCATTAATATTGAGTCATTTAAAAGAGTATTGCCTATAAATATATTAAAAGTATAAGCAAACATTTAACTAAAAATAAGAAAATATTTTATATTTTATTAACTGATTTAGACCATACCTTTCTGCCTTAATTGTTGCTCTTTCTTAACATCAATTTCCAATTTATGAAAGTCAATAGAAAGTAGAGCCACTATGGAATTAACTAATTCCATTCCAGAAACGATTGTTAGAATGGTTACTTTCATATTCATGCATTTTTTGGACGTATCAAGTGGTGATATCAGTCCCATTCGAACCAGGCATGGAAGAACTGGACGAATTTCTTGTTCCGTACATTTTGCAAGTTCTTCAACATTAACATGTTGGATAGCCCTAAAGACTTTGGGATCCACTCCTAGAAGGATTTTAGTTCAAAAAAATTGTTTCAAAAATTTTATTTTAAACGAAATATAGATTATAACCTACCTTTTTTAAAAGTCATTCTCAAGAATTAAAATACAGCTTGTTTAATAATATCTTGAATTTTATTTAATTGTGTGTTTAATAGTTTTCCATTCATACATTTCATTTAATTAATAAAAACCATATTAATAAACAAATCAAAAACAAATATTTGTTTTCAACTAGTGAACTGGCTAATTTATTCTTCTTTTCCGATTGGAATGACAGAAAACCGAATGACTGTTACTGAGTTGCCCATACAGTGGTCCATTATATTCTTAACAGGGTCGGCCTGGCCAATGAGAAATAATTGATTAATATTTTTTTTTTACTTTTTGAATATGATACATTTAAGAAGGGGCAAGTTATTGCTAAGAAAATAGAATAATTCTTTAAAGACATAAAAATATAAAATAATATTCAAATTTATATTTTATCTTACAGTACCTACTACAGTAGGAGTGAGGTATAGTTCTCACTTAGTTGCATTATCAGATGTTGTTATTGTGTTCTCGTTTGCTCCTTCACCATTTAGGTTATACGATAAATGTTTTATTCTACAGAAGAGTATTATAAATATTCTTCATAAATTTGCGTAGATGTATTGTAGCTATTATTTATATTTATAGGTAGGTACTTATCAAACTATGAAAGATTTTACGATGGATGTTTCGGTTTGGTTTATTACAATTCAATTAAGAAACAAAAACTACATTTTCTTGAATCTTTGTAAGAATAATTATTGGGGAGAATGTAAATAAATACATATTAGAACGAATGTTATTCAAATTTATTTTGTAATTATAAATATCTTAAATAACTATACTATCATCTAATTTATTTTATTTCTATCTTTATTGGTATATTTCGTTTCAGTCACTTCATCGTAAATATCGCCATCTATCTGCTCGGCGTCGATCGGACGATTTGGAAGGCCTGAACCATCCTCGGGCTTTAGCAAGGCCGCTCCATCAGCTCCCAATCTTATGCAGTCAAAGTGCAAGACGAGCACGGTCGCTTGTTGAATCCTCGTTTCGAAATCCAAACACATGTGTAAATTCTGACCAGGCGTGTAAATGTCGAAGAGTTTTGCGCAGGCGGCTACTTGAATAGGAATATAAGGAATCGGGATTGGGATACACAGGGGTGGAGGATTTTTAGCTGAAAATTAATTAGAATTGTATATAAAAAGATATGGCAACTTTTTTTTATTTAAAATTTTATGCGAAGTCGGATTTATTACGAAAACGTCTATTTTGCTCGATACGCCTAAGTTTTGGAATAAAGTACCGATTTCACCTTAGATGAGTTCAGCGAGAAGCCTATTTTACTAAAAACGTTCCGTTACTTAATTCGGATAACAGAGTTTTTAGTTATTATTTAAGCATGGACTGAGTAAAAAAGGCTCCATACCTTCAAACCACTGCGCTTAGGCGAGTACCTACTGCGTAATGTCAGATATATCAACTTAATACATTTTTCTGGTAAGAATAACAGATAAGATTCATTATCTAAAATGATAAGTACTTTTTCAGACGGTGTCTTATATCTAAATATAATCTACTACTTGCTCTTCCAAAATATGTTGATATTACCCTCGATAAATAAATATGAATTTTTTACCTTCTTCTCATTTCTTGTTGGGGTGAGTTTGATGCCATATCTATTCCATTTAATTGATTTGTTGAATGTTCAAAATATTAAACGAATACTGCATGGTGTCAGTTGTGCTAACTTTGGAAACGCGTATATCACATTTAAGTTGTAGTTTCTGTAAATCTGCTGTTTATTTACAAATAGATTCAACCACGTCTATAAATCAAATAAATTTCTCCTTGAAAGTAGTCGCCCAGTCGCCACTGAATTGATAAGTTATCACCGAAAACTTTTAGATAAGACTGTTCGTCTACATTTAAATACTTACGAATCATAAAACATAAGCCGACCCTGCAACCAACCACGAATTTAACCTTCATCAAATCTAATTAATTTTTAAAATTCAACGAACATTTACATTGGCATAACGACGGCAAGGTCAACATAGATCACGAATTAAAAACATCAATACTAAGAGTAATACTATCTTTTGTCTCCCTATTAACATAACGTACCTCACTCACGCAGTGCAGCTAAAGTAGTTTAGACAATTACAAAATCTAGCCAATAAGATTTGAAATTGAAATAAGCCACCCTGAAGTCATATACAGAACCCCTCACAACCCCTACTTGATGGTCGTTTCCAAATCCAGATCAAACACATCGTCCATCGGATAGTTGCTGCTCCTATCCTGCCATTATTGGATGTCGAAAAACCCTCTCACAACCCCCTTCACTCCCCAAGGCACCCAATATATCTATCTGTCAATCAGATTAAAACTCGGCATTGTAGGTACATGCATGGCTGTTAACAGTGAAATTTGTAGTCCATGTTGCTGCTGTATACGCCAATTAGGAAAATAAGACATGTACCTATAGATATTTTTTGTTGTTCGCATGTAATGTATATAGAGTATTTAAAAATAAAAATAATAAAAGTATATTTTATTTCCTAAATTATTACCCACATTTGGTTTTTTGAACCAATAAAAAAAATACCTCTACTGTATATAAATTTCAAATAATTTTTGCTAAATTAAATAAGTCGATCTATATGACAATATTAAATTAGTATATTTATTAGTTTGTCAATAAGGTATGTAGGGGAGGGTGGGCCACATTGAGATTTTTACTTTTTGCTACAGTTACTTTATGATTTATAATCTTTCATCTGATTGTACACATTTTTTTATTAAATCATTAATGTAAGATTATAATGTTTTTTTTATAAAGAAATTAAAAGTCTGAGTTTGTGTCAAGGCAGCCCACGAAGTGGACCACTTTAAGACATAGCAATAAAAACAAAAAAAGCACAAAAAAATCGTTTTTTTTTTTAAATAATACGCAGGTATGTGGAAAACAACAAAATAAAAAATATATATGACATTCTAACATCAAAAGATACTAACGGATATTGATGCCATTGATGTTTCCGTTGATTTTATCCGCTGCCTTCCTTAAGTTTAATTTATGTTTAATAACATCTTAGACAGCCCTTTTAATTGATTTAGCAATAAATATGACCTTTTCAGATATTGTTTTTCCATTCTCGGGACATGTGTCCTATACAAAATATTTTTCACACGTCTAAAGGTGGCCCAACATTCGTGTCTTATTGTGGCCCATGTTAGGTCTGAGTTACAAAACGCAATATTTTAGGAAAACGCTTCGTAATATACAAAAACAGTAAAATTAATATTTATCTGTTCTATTAAATACCTCAGACCAGAGATAACTGTTATCTCTACATCAGACCAATATAAAGATCTATTGGAAACCACTCACGAGATACGAACTGTCAGCAACAAAACATTTCATTATGGCAAAACCAAATTAAGATCGGCAAAAAATTTGGGAACCCACGTTCGACTTCTCCGGCAACAAAAATAAGACTGTCCTGTCTGCCACTTGAAGTTTCTGCGAATAAGCCAGAAAATACGCAAGTTATTTAAAAATAATGGCGACTGTCTCATAAGGTAAACGCGTCTTAGGGTGGCCCAACTTCCCCTATAACTGTAATACTAGACAAATTTTATCAATACATAAAAATAACTCAAACTCATAATGAATATTAGCAATGACTAAAAATGTATAACACCTAAGTAGGTACCTACATAAAAAATACTTTGTAAAAAAATAAGTAAAGCATTAGATATGGATTATTTTAACAATTTTCGTTTTTGTAATAAAACATCATTTTTTACCTCACAGCGAGATGCCTGTAAATTTTAATAGGCATAACAGACATTTTTTATTATTTTTAGGGTAGAATAACAACAGTAAAATTGTAGTAAACAATAATATAATTAAAAAAATATATTAAAAATAAGTGAAATACCATGTTTTATGTTCATTTATTAAAAATTAGAAAAGCGAAATAGGTTTTAAAAAGGAATTGAACTGTTTACTTGACTTGTTTATGTTATGCTTGGCTTTCGATACTGATACTTCAAATTAAGTTTTTTCACTAGCTCACATTAATATAAGATAACATTATTTTTTGATAGAATGCTTTGCATCAGATCACCTTTTCTTTTAAAGCAGGACATTCTTGCGTTCTTTGGGGACAATGGTATAGTAGACGGCACAGATAAAATTTTACTATTTTACAATTAAATATCAGTATTATTAATATATCTATACAGTGAGCATCATAAGTCTTACCCCCTCCCCTATCTAACTCCTTACTGGAGTCTTGTTAGGAAAATCGCCGACACACTTCGATTTTTGATTTCAACAATGTACATTTTTGAATGAATAGTTTACACTTAATTTCATCCCTTACTGGAGGGGAGCAACCCTAGTAAATAGATGAGACTATTAAGATTACCAATTTAAAGTTTGTGGTACAATTAAATGAAACAAACAATTGGCATTTATAATAATCTTTAGTAATATATTTTTTAAATTTTTGTTGATTCCGTAAACATAGGGTAAGTGCCTCACTAAAATTGAATTTTTTCGTGTTATTATTTAGATTTTTAATATTACATTTATTCCAAACAACGCACTCTTACCCCAAGTGACCCTACATAATTCTAGGCAAAACCCATCAAAGTTTTTTCTGAGAATAAAGAAGAATTGGAGGAGGAAGACGAGGAAGAGGAGAAGTGGGATGATATTAACCAAAAATTTGGTATGTAGATATTACCCTCAACTCAAAAAGTTATTTGAAATATGTACCACCAATTAATATTGGAAAATAATAGATCTAATTACGGTGTCATAGAAAGAATACACATTTGACAACAATTTCAAAACCTTCGATTAGAAAAATTATTACGAGCCAGGAATATCTTCCAAGAAAAAAGCGGAAAGAAAGATCTCTAGTTGGTCTAGATCACTGCATGATGGAGAATATTAGAAGAAAGGTTTGTAATTTTTATTTTAATAATATTGTTCCGTATTTTCAAAAGATTCAAAATTAAATAAAGTTGGTTCCTGGTTTCCCTTACAAATCTGACAAAACCACTAGAAAATTGCCCCATTCTTTGAGTTTTAGATATCCTACCTTAAATAGATGACATTACTTATATTAGGGAATCTTAAAGAATTATGATTTTACGTAATGAATACGTCACTAGAGTAGATGAAGCTCGACAAGAAAGATTCATAGTGTACCTTGATGAGACTTGGTATGACACTCAAGATATTGTGAAAAAAGGATGGAGTGACAATCTGCTAAATGTTCTGTGAATGCTCCTCCAAATAGAGGAAAACGTAGTATACTATTACATTCCGGTAATGAAGACGGTTTTGTGTGGAATTACTTGTTAATTATCAGCAAAGGATATTTTAAGTTGTTCAGCAGATTATCATCAATATTATGACATCTACCTTATTCGAGTAATGGTTTGGTGAACAATTAATTCCTAGGCCACCAAATGCTGTTATAGTAATGGATAATACCCCTTGCCATTCTCGTCAAATTAGTGAAATTTCAAAAGCGAAAGCTCGAAAAGAGGTACTTTCCGTGTTTTTGGACAAAATGTGTGTATCATATCATATTTATCATATTTATTTCGGACCAATTTCGTAAGTGTTGCCTTTAAATCTAAATATAGTGATATTTATTAAAAAATCGAAGAAGGAAATTATTGGAATGTGATAATATTTAAATATGTATATTTCCTCTTTAAAGTGTAACATACAACTAATTAGGTCCGTCCCTGGGTCGCCGTTAAACGTTTTTTTATACAGTTTCCTATGTTTTGCCGAAAGAGAAAGAATATCTTTACCTCCAACTATACCTTCAACTATACCTCCAACCAGAGTTGGGTCGGATATAGGAAAAAAATATCCGAGTACCGGATACGGATACTTACAACATTATGAGCAACAACGTCATACATATATGAGTATATTATTACACATACAATCATTCAGCTATTATTATATCATTTTACTTTTAATATTTTTATTAAATGGAAGTAATATCCCGCTGATTTTATTTATATTTATTTGTCAAGCGATTTAAATGAAATTTTGGAGATACATTTTACACGAAACTCTATATTCTCTTTTATTTTTACATTTTTTTTAATCTAAGCTGATTTTCCGAGATA